GCGGCGGCGGAGGTGCCGGAGGCGGCGGCGGCGCAGCCGGGCCTGCGCCGGGCTCGGGGTCGGGCGGCGGCGCGGCCGCGGGCGAGTCGTGGTACCTGGCGCTGCTGGGCCTGGCCGAGCATTTCCGCACGTCCAGCCCGCCCAAGGTGCGGCTGTGCGTGCACTGCCTGCAGGCCGTGCTGCCCCGCAAGCCCCCGGCCCGCATGGAGGCCCGCACGCACCTCCAGCTCGGCTCCGTCCTCTACCACCACACCCGCAACGGCGACCAGGCCCGCGGGCACCTGGAGAAGGCGGTGAGCGGGGCTGGGATGGCTCTGGGGGGCACGGCGGGCTGGGGAAGGGGGCAGCGGCGGTGGCGGTGCGTGGAGGAAGGGTTGGGAGTGGTGGGGACGGGGGTCTGGGCACTTGGAGAGGGTAAAGAGAAGCGGAAGGGGCGACTGAGGGCTGCTGGCAGCTGGAAGAGATGAGGAGCAGGGCAGGGGGGCCGTGGGAGGCTGCTGGCATGGAGGGGGAGGGTGTCAGGGCGGCTCTGGGGGGTGTTGGTGCCAGCCTAACCCGCTGTGTTCTCTTGCAGTGGCTGATATCCCAGCAGGTATCCTTTTCCCGGGATCCAGGAAGGGCTCCAAGCTCCGAACGGCTCCAAGGAAACTCCCAAAAACACCTCAAGGGCCTGGGGGTGGGGGCACAGAATGGGTGTTTTCATCTGCTTCATCACAGCACCACGGAGTTTGGGTTGGAAGGGGCCTTAAATCCCACCTCATCCCCATTTTCCTGAGGATTTTTGGGGGCTTTGCTGCTGTTTCCCACCCAGGTTTTGTGGTTCCCTTAACGCTGGTGCCAGATCCCCCAGTTTGAAGATGTGAAGTTTGAGGCAGCCAGTTTGCTGTCAGAGCTCTACTGCCAGGAGGTGAGAGAAACCCCCCAAAACCCCTCTGTGCCCCTCAGATTTGGGGTTGGAATGGGGAATTCCCGTGAAAAAATCAGATTTCTTCCTTCCTCACTGAGGAGGTTTTTGCTGGAATTGCAGCAAGAGTTTCCCACTGTAAGAAGATTTTGCTTGGTCAAGTAAATTTTTGGGTCCTTATTAAACAAATGTTTATTTTAGGGGAGGGAGGGAAATCCATGATTTCCTTCAGGATTTTGGAATCCTGGAGTGATTTGGGTTGGAAAGGACCTGAAGGATCATCCAATTCCTTGGGAAGGACTTTTTCTATCCCAGGTTGCTCCAAGCTGGTCAATTCCAGGGATGAGTGGGAATTCTGTCCCAGCCCCATCCCACCCTCCCAGGGAGGAATTCCATCCCAGAATCCCAAAACTGGCAAGCCATTCCCTCTGTTCCTGGTTTGGAAAGCCCCAGTTGGATCATCCCACGTTTTGTGTTCATCTCTGTCACTAGGAAATTGTGCTGATTTCCTCCAAAACCATTTCCTGGGATTTTGAATGCCAGTATCCTGGAATGGTTTGGATTGGAATGACCTTAAATCCCATCCCATCTCACCCTGTACAGGGACAGGGGCACCTCCCAAAATCCCAGATTTCCCCAGCCAGATTTCTCCAATCCTCCCCAAATCCCAGATTTCTCCAGTCCTCCCCAAATCCCAGATTTCTCCCATCCTCCCAAAATCCCAGATTTCTCCAGTCCTCCCCAAATCCCAGATTTCTCCAGTCCTCCTCAAATCCCAGATTTCCCCAGCCAGATTTCTCCAATCCTCCCCAAATCCCAGATTTCTCCCATCTTCCCCAAATCCCAAATTTCTCCAATCCTCCCCAAATCCCAAATTTCTCCAGCCCCATCCAACCCCACCTTGGACATTCCAAGGACGCAGCAACCCCAGATTTCTCCCATTTCATTTTTACTGCTTCCAACACTCTGATCCCTCCTCCCAGCCCTCCCTGGAGGGTTCAGCCTGATTATCCAGGGAATTGCAGGGCTGTGGGGCTCCAGGATCCTGGTTTTTGGTGACTGGGGGTGTGTGTGTTGCAGAATTCCGTGGACACGGCCAAGCCCCTGCTGCGCAAAGCCATCCAGATCTCCCAGCAGACTCCCTACTGGCACTGCAGGCTGCTCTTCCAGCTGGCTGTGAGTCCTTGCAGCAGCAATTCCTCGGGGAAAAAATCCTGCAAAAAATCCTGCATCCCTGTTCAAAACTGCCTGCAAGCCTTGCGTGATTATTCCCTAAAAAAAATTGCTGCTAATGGGTGACTTTTATTCCTTTGTCGGCTAAAAAGTTGTTAATGGGCAGGGAAAAGGCAAATCCAGGGTGGGAAGTGGTGTTGGGTTGGGTCAAGGAATCAGCCAGGATCACTCTGTGGGAATTAGGGACCTGGAATTCCAAGGATGGAGGAAAAAATTCCATTTTGTGGCTTGCAGGGAGAGAAAACCCTGCTGGGGTTGGAAGTGTTGATGGTTTTATGTTGAATGTGGGATGGGAGAAGGAGGAAAAGTGTCCAGGGAAAGGAGCAAGGAAAAGAATCCAAGGAAAATTTTTGTTCCTGCTCTGGAATAGGCTCTGAAATATTTATAAATTAAAAATACTAGTGAGAATAGGGACACATTAAAGTGTGTTTGTGGAAAAAGAACCTTAATTCCCTAATGATTTAGGAATGTTTAGTTTCTCAGGAATTTAGGAATATTTAGTTTTCCAGAATTCATCCTGAGGACTCCAATGCTTTTCCTCTCCTTGGAGCTTCCAATTTTTCCCATTTTTTCCTGATTTCCCATTTCCTTGGAGCCTCTTCCTGAATCCCCACCTGAGTTTGGGAAAGGGATAAAATTTGGGAACACACCTTGGAGGCTCCTCTTGCTGGGAGAGCTCTTGCTCCAGTGTGACAACTCCTGGGTTTTTTGGAGCTGTTGGGATCTGATCAGCACTGGATATTCACCCTTTGCAGGATCTGCCTCCAATTTTTAACCAATTCCTCATTAATTAGGAATTTGAAGATAAAAAAAATCCACCCGAGCTCAGACAAATCCTTGGGAACGCCACAGATTTCTTTGGAAAACGGCTCTAAAACCCCTTTAAGGAGCAGGAAGTTGCAAATCCAGGGATAATGGGATTTTCTTGGGATTCATGGAGCAAATCCTGAGTTTTTGTGGTGTTTTTTTGTTCCCATTTCAGCAACTCCACACGCTGGAGAAGGATTTGGTGTCAGCCTGTGACCTGCTGGGCGTGGGGGCGGAGTACGCGCGCGTGGTGGGCTCCGAGTACACCAGGTGAGGCTTCTGGGCTCCTCAGGGATCCCCGGGCTTCCTGCCTGAATTCCCGGGGATTCCCTGCCTGAATTCCCGGGGATTCCCTGCCTGAATTCCCTGGGATTCTCTGCCTGAATTCCCTGGGATTCTCTGCCTGAATTCCCCGGGATTCTCTGCCTGAATTCCCTGGGATTCTCTGCCTGAATTCCCGGGGATTCTCTGCCTGAATTTCCTGGGATTCCCCGCCTCAATTCCCGTGGCTTCCCTGCCTGAATTCCCTGGGATTCCCCGCCTCAATTCCCGGGGCTTCCCTGCCTGAATTCCCGGGGATTCCCTGCCTGATTTCCCGGGGATTCCCTGCCTGATTTCCCGGGGCTTCCCTGCCTGAATCCCTTGGGCTTCCCTGCCTGAATTCCCAGGGCTTCCCTGCCTGAATTCCCCAGGGCTTCCCTGCCTGAATTCCCTGGGATTCTCTGCCTGAATTCCCAGGGCTTCCCTGCCTGAATTCCCTGGCATTCCCCGCCTCAATTCCCGGGGCTTCCCTGCCTGAATCCCTTGGGCTTCCCTGCATTCCCTGCCGGTGCCTGAATTCCTGTTTTCCCCAAGATTCCCTGCCTGAATTCCCTTGGGATTCCCTGCCTGAATTCCCGGGGATTCTCTGCCTGAATTCCCTGGGCTTCCCTGCCTGAATTCCCGGGATTCCCTGCCTGAATTCCCCGGGATTCCCTGCCTGAATTCCTGGGGCTTCCCTGCCTGAATTCCCCGGGATTCCCTGCCTGAATTCCCGGGGATTCCCTGCCTGAATTCCCAGGATTTCCCTGCCTGAATTCCCTTGGGATTCCCTGCCTGAATTCCCTTGGGATTCCCTGCCTGAATTCCCTTGGGCTTCCCTGCCTGAGTTCCCTTGGGCTTCCCTGCCTGAATTCCCTTGGGATTCCCTGCCTGAATTCCCTTGGGATTCCCTGCCTGAATCCCTTAGGATTTCCTGCCTGAATTCCCCGGGCTTCCCTGCCTGAATTCCCTGGGATTCCCTGCCTGAATTCCTTAGGATTTCCTGCCTGAATTCCCTGGGCTTCCCTGCCTGAATTCCCGGGGCTTCCCTGCCTGAATTCCCGGGGCTTCCCTGCCTGAATTCCCGGGGCTTCCCTGCCTGAATTCCCGGGGCTTCCCTGCCTGAATTCCCGGGGCTTCCCTGCCTGAATTCCCGGGGCTTCCCTGCCTGAATTCCCGGGGCTTCCCTGCCTGAATTCCCTGCCTGAATCCCTTGGGATTCCCTGCCTAAATTCCCTGGGATTTCCTCCCCCAAATCCCTGGGATTTCCTTTATCAGCTCCCTTAATTCTCTTTTTCCTCAGTTTTAAGAGGCAGAAAAAGGCAGATTTTTTTTTCCTGATGTTTTTTTCTTTGTGGATGCAGTAATTTCATGTGGAATTTAATTTAACTTCATTTTCTCTCATTCCAGAGCCCTCTTTCTACTCAGCAAGGGGATGGTGAGTGGGAACTCTCTTTAAAATAAATTATTTCCTGTTTAATTGTGAATTCCAGAGGATTTTTTTTTTTTTGGGGGGGGGGGGGGGAGGAGGGATAAGCAGGATTCCTACGGATAAATCCAGCTTTTCCCTTTACTTTTTTCTGGGAAAAATAAAAGGATTGTTGGAAATTTTCACTGGAGCTTTTGTAATGAGGGATGGAAAAGCTGGTGGGGCGAAGGGGCTGTGGGAATCAGGTGAATATTCCAATCCTGGAATTAGAGAATCCATGGAATTTGAGAATCCAGAGAATTATTCGGCTTGGAAGAACCAGGGACACCTTCCACTATCCCAGGCAGCTCCAACCTGGCTTTGGGCAATTCCAGGCTTGAGGCAGCCCCATTTTCCAAGGGAAATTGTCATTCCCTGAGGGTTCATCCTGGAAAAAGCTGGATTTTCCTTGGGAATTGCAGCTGCTGCTGATGGAGAGGAAGCTGCAGGAGGTTCACCCGCTGCTGACGCTGTGTGGGCAGATCGTGGAGAACTGGCAGGGCAACCCCATCCAGAAGGAATCCCTCAGGGTCTTCTTCCTGGTCCTGCAGGTCACACATTACCTGGATGCCGGCCAGGTACGTGCCACGTTCCAGCTGGGAATTTGGGACAGGGATATTCCCTAAAAAATCAGCCCTGAGGGGATTTTTGGGTTTTTTTTTTTTTTTTTTTTTAAAGGAAAAAAACCCCTTTTGTTTTTTTTCCCAAAAGGTACGTGCCACGTTCCAGCTGGGAATTTGGGACAGGGATATTCCCCAAAAAATCGGCCCTGAGGGGATTTCTGGTTTTGGTTTTTTTTTGTAATGGAAGTAAACTCCTGTTGGTTTTGTTCCCAAATTAAATGAAGAGTGAGGAAATCACTCAATTTGGAGATGTTGTCCACGATATTTTTATATCTGTGGTGGTCTCTGTTGCTTCCCTGGTGTCTTGGAGGGAATAACAGGAATTTTTTGGGGGATTTTGGGAATATTTTGAGCATCCCTTGCTGCCGTTCACCCCCGTGAAAGCGCTGAGGGTCATCAATCCTAAACCAACCCCCAAAACATGGAATTACCACTCTGCTGGGAAGTTTTCCCTCTCCCAGAGCATTCCAGCAGTGGGAGCGTGAGGAATTCCCACCGGGAATTGTGTCCTGGCAGGTGAAGAGCGTGAAGCCGTGCCTGAAGCAGCTGCAGCAGTGCATCCAAACCATCTCCACCCTGCACGACGACGAGATCCTGCCCAGCAACCCCGCCGACCTCTTCCACTGGCTGCCCAAGGAGCACATGTGTGTGCTGGTCTACCTGGTGAGAGCTCTTAATTGGCGCTAATTGCCGATTAATGAGGGTTAATGAGTGATTTGGAGCCAGCGGGGATGGGGTTTGTGGCTGCTTTGGGCCGGTTTTCCCTCAGTGATCCTGGGGTGATGCTGAGGGGGCTGCTCAGTGTGTGAGGAGATGGCAGGCTGGAAATGGGAATTAATTCATTAATTATTAAAGGATTTATTAATTAGTACCTGACTCAAATGGAAATGAAGTTATTTGTAAAAATCAGAGCCGCTTTGGCTTAATTTTATCAACTGTTTGTTGCTTTTTTTTCCCCTCAATATTTGTGGGGTGATGCTTAGGGAGCTGCTTGGTGTGTGTGGGATTCCAGCCTAGAAATGGGAACTAGTTAATAAATGATTAATTAACTGATTAATCAATACCCCAATCAAGTGAAAATGGAGGTATTTGTCCAAATTAGGCCACTTTGGCTTAATTTTATCAGCTGCTTGGTGCTGGTTCTGCCTCAGTGTCCAGGGGTGATGCTGAGGGAGCTGCTCAGTGTGTGAGGAGATTCCAGGCTGGGAATGGGAATTAATTCATTAATAACTCGTTAATTGATTAAGTAATACCTGATCCAAATGAAAATGGAGTCATTTGTACCAAGCAGAACCACTTTGGCTTAATTTTATCAGCATGAGGAGAGCTGGACTTGGAATTGCTGAAGGATTGTGTTCCATTTCTTGGAGATTATTCCAATCCTTGGTAAAAAAAAATCTGGGATTTGAGGAATTCTGTGAATTCCCAGCCCTTCCCTCTCTGCACAGACAGATTTTGGGAATCATGGAATGGTTGGGGCTGGGAAGGAGCTTTAAAATCATCCATTCCCACCCTCTCACTATCCTGGGGTGCTCCAGGATGCTTTTCCAGGGATTTCTGCCGTGGGAATTGCATCCCAGGGGATTCCTGAGGGGGATAATCCTTGCTGTGCTTCCCTGCAGGTGACAGTGATGCATTCCATGCAGGCAGGCTACCTGGAGAAGGCTCAGAAGTACACGGACAAAGCCCTCATGCAGCTGGAGAAGCTCAAAAGTAAGGAAAAAGGCCTTGGATTCCAGGAAAATCCTGGAAAATCCCGTTATTTATTCCTCATTTAAACCCATCCCACAGCCTCTTGAGCTGCTGAGTCAGCCTAAAAGTAAAACTAAGATTAAACCCCTGATTTTAAGGCTGGGTGGTGTCTTCGGAGTGCAAAAATCAACTTTTTGGGGTTTTTTTTTTTTTTTTGGGTGGGATTTGAAACATTCCTGATGGAATTGCCCCTGCTCCTTTCCCAGTGCTGGACTGCAGCCCCATCCTGTCCTCATTCCAAGTGATTTTGTTGGAACACATCATCATGTGCAGGCTGGTGACAGGACACAAAGCCACAGCCCTGCAGGAGGTAACGTGGGAATTCCAGCATTTCCTGGCTGGGAGTGGCTCCCAAAAAATGGGAATGTTCTGCAGGAACAGTCTCTGAGACGTGGGAATTGCAGTGTGGGGCTCAGGTGGGAATTCCTGCTGGGTTATTGATGGATACAGCCAGCCTTGGTGGGGCTCAGGGCTTGGGAAATGTGGGATTGGCTCCTCTTCAATATTTATTTAAGGGCACTTTGGAATTGATTGTGGGATAATCAATAATTGGTCGGATTGACACCTTCCTGGTGGCAATTCCAGCCTGATTCCAGTGGTTTTTTTCCCATTCCATCCATTCCAGAGTGGCTCCTTCCTCTTCAGGTTCCTGCCTTGTCCAGGTGTTTCCCAGTTTTCCACATTCCTGCTTTTCCTCCTCTTTCCTGGTTCATTTGGGTTGTTCCAGAGGAAACTGGACTTTTTTTTTCCCTCCATTTTTCCAATCATTTTAAAATCCTGGGAATCCAATCCCTGCTGCCAGCTTTGCTGGGAATGTGCTGGGAATGGGGAGGGATTCAGCCTCCTGCTTCAGTCTCCTGAAACCCATCCCAATCCCAGATTTTGGGAGGTTTTATCCCACTTTTCCTGGAAAACCTGGAGGGATCTGTGGCTGTGAATTTCAGGGGGGTGGAGGAAACCATTCCAAACGGGCTGGAATGTGGGAAGGATGTGAGGAAATCCCTTTTCCTGTGCTGGCAGCACATCCCAACTCCCCTTTTATCCAGTGCTGGAGGTCCTGGAGCCGATCCAGGATCCACGAGGGGTGCAAGGAGTGGGATTTGGAGCACAAAACTGAGGGGGAAAAGTGTCAAAAATGGGGAATTGTGCTCTTGCCCAGATTTCCCAGGTCTGCCAGCTGTGCCAGCAGTCTCCCAGGCTCTTCTCCAACCACGCTGCCCAGCTGCACACGCTCCTGGTGAGTTTTTGGGGTGAAACCTGGCAATTCTGCATCCCACTGGAATTCCAGAGAGGAGATTTCCCTGGGAATTACAGATCTGCACCATCCAGATCTGCTCATCTCCACCTGAAAACCCTTTGGAAACAGAATTCCAGGATGGAATTGGGTGGGCAGGGGCACTTCCCACTATCCCAAGTTGCTCCAGCAATTCCTGGAGAGAAAAATCCCATTTTTCTGTGGAGAAAATTCCTGGGATTTGCCTTTTCCTGGGTGTTTTTGACATCCAGGCCTTGTGTGGCAGCAGTTCCTTTATGAAGGGAGGATGAATTTGGGAGGAACCAGCTGGAAAAGCGGAAATCCAGGGATTTCAGCTGTGCCCACTGGAGATGGTTTTATGTGGGAATTGTGGAAGGGGAAGGGTTTTTGTAGGGAATACTGGTTTTCCATGATTTTAATAAAGATTTTTTAGCTAAATTAAGCTTTTTTTTTCTCCCATGAATAATTTATTTTAAAGGACATTTTGTAGAAATTCCTTATTTTCCCCACACCTCAGACTCGTTGCTCCCTTTTTCCTGCTGTTATCCCAATATTTCCATGGATTTGGAACGTTTTGGGCTACATTCCCAAAAATATCCTTTCTTTTCCAGGGTCTGTACTGCATCTCTGTCAACTGCATGGACAATGCAGAAGCACAATTCACTACAGCACTGAGGGTGAGATTTTATTCCCAGATTTCCTCCTGGAAACTTAGGGATTGCAGTGTGAATTTGGGAGGGAAACCTTCTTTAATTCCATTATTTATCAACGATTTTCCTTGGATCGGGGGGGGAATTTTTAAAATACCAATGTGTGATTTTTTTTTTTAGCCAGGATTTTTTTAATGGCAATGGTAACGATTTTCCTTGGATCAGGGCGGGGAATTTTTAACATTAAAATACCAATGTGTGATTTTTTTTTTTAGCCAGGATTTTTTTAATGGCAATGGCAACAAACTGTGAGGAAAAAGAGACTGAAATATTTGGGAATTTTCTCTTTTTCCAGCTCACAACGCACCAGGAGCTGTGGGCATTTATTGTCACCAACCTGGCCAGCGTCTACATCCGGGAGGGGAATCGGCACCAGGAGGTGAGCTGGGCTCTCCAAATCCTGCTTTTCTGTGCACAAAATCCCTGGGATTTGCCTTTTTCTGGCTATCTTTTCCATCAGGGCCTTGCTGGCAGCAGCTGCTCAATCGGGGGGGTGGGAATTCCCAGTTTTCTGTGGACAAAATTCCTTCAATTTGCCTTTTTCTCTGTGTTTTTGCCATCAAGCCCTTGCTGGCTGCAGCTCCTTCATCAGGGAGTGGGAAATCCCAGTTTTCTGTGGAGAAAATCCCTGGGATTTGCCTTTTTCTGGATATTTTTGCCATTAAGGCCTTGCTGGCAGCAATTGCTTCATGAGGGGAGTGGGAAATCCCAACTTTCTGTGGAGAAAATTCCTGGGATCTGCCTTTTTCTGGATATTTTTGCCATTAAGGCCTTGCTGGCAGCAACTCCTTCATGAGGGGTGTGGGAAATCCCAACTTTCTGTGGAGAAAATTCCTGGGATCTGCCTTTTTCTGGATATTTTTGCCATTAAGGCCTTGCTGGCAGCAACTCCTTCATGAGGGGTGTGGGAAATCCCAACTTTCTGTGGAGAAAATTCCTGGGATCTGCCTTTTTCTGGATATTTTTGCCATTAAGGCCTTGCTGGCAGCAACTCCTTCATGAGGGGTGTGGGAAATCCCAACTTTCTGTGGAGAAAATTCCTGGGATCTGCCTTTTTCTGGATATTTTTGCCATTAAGGCCTTGCTGGCAGCAACTCCTTCATGAGGGGTGTGGGAAATCCCAACTTTCTGTGGAGAAAATTCCTGGGATCTGCCTTTTTCTGGATATTTTTTCCATCAGGGCCTTGCTGGCCACATCTCCGTCATGAGGGGTGTGGAAATTCCTGAGGAATCATCTGGAAAACTCCGAAAGTTCTGGATTATTCCCACAATTCTTCCCACTTTATCTCTCAAATCCTGCTTTTCTGTGGAGAAAATCCCTGGCATTTGCCTTTTTCTGGGTATTTTTGCCATCCAGGCCTTGCTGGCAGCAACTCCTTCATCAGGGAGTGGGAAATCCCAACTTTCTGAGATAAAAATTCCTGAAATTCTGCTTTTCCAGGGCATTTTTTTCCATCAGGGCCTTGCTAGCAGCAGCTCCTTCATCAGGGAGTGGGAAATCCCTGTTTTCTGGGGAAAAAATTCCTGAAATTCTGCTTTTCCAGGACATTTTTTTCCATCAGGGTCTTGCTGGCAGCAGCTCCTTCATGAGGGGAGTGGGAATTTTGGAGGAATCATCTGGAAAACTCCAAAAAGAATGTTCTGGAGCAGGATTTTCTGGATTATTCCCACCATTCTTCCCACCCTTACTCTCAAATCCTGCTTTTCTGTGGAGAAAATTCCTGGGATTTGGCTTTTTCTGGGTATTTTTTCCATGAGGGCCTTGCTGGCAGCAGCTCCTTCATGGGGGAAGCAAAAAATATCCGTAAAGTTTGTGAATTCTTTAGTTAAATTCTGGTTTTCATTAATCAAATCCGGTATCAAATTCATTACCAGAGCCACCAGCTCCAAGTTTTCTGTGGGAATTATCCAGGAGATGCTGTGGAATGGGAGGAGATTTGGGATAAAACTTGGATTTTTGGGATCAAAACAAGCCTAAAATTCCCAATATTGGGATAAACTTGGGATGGTTTGGGTGGAATTTCACTGTTTTGGTGTTGATTTTCCCTTGAAAATTTGATTTTTCCTTTTTCTCTCCCACTTTCCAGCTCTACAGTTTATTGGAAAGGATAAATCCCGACCACAACTTCCCTGTGAGGTGAGAATTCCCACAAATCCCAACATTCCGGGCTGGGAATGATGGATTCACAGCAGCATTTTCAACAAATCAGGGGGGAAAAATCCAACTCACTCCAAAGGGAAACACGGGATGGGGCTCAAATGGAATATTTTGCTTGGAAGTTGGATTTTGGGGTGGAATTCCTGGGAATTTGGGTGGGATCCTGAGGTATCCATGTTTTTTTTTTGTTTTCCATAGTTCCCACTGTCTGCGGGCTGCAGCGTTCTACATCCGAGGGCTCTTCTCCTTTTTCCAGGGAAGATACAACGAGGCCAAGTGAGTCCAAGCCCTGGGAAAAGCAGGAAAAATGTGGGGAAAATCTGTGGGAAAAGCCACCCTGGCTTTTTTTGGGATGGGAGTGGGAATGCCAAGGCTTTGTGGCCATCCCATTCCCATGGATTTCTCCTGGATTGGCCGGGGATGAAGAGTGGGGATGTGGTGGGGGTTGGGCTCTTTCCTTGGGAATCATTCCCTGCCATCCCTGGGAATCTTGGGATTGTTCTTCCCTGGAATCCTTGGGAATCTTGAGAATGTTATTCCCTGGAATCCCTGGGAATCTTGGGCATGTTATTCCCTGTAATCCCTGGGAATCTTAGGAATGTTATTCCCTGGAATCCCTGGGAATGATTGGATTGTTATTCCCTGGAATCCTTGAGAATCTTGGGATTGTTCTTCCCTGGAATCCTTGGGAATCTTGAGAATGTTATTCCCTGGAATTCCTGGGAATCTTGGGCATGTTATTTCCTTGAATCCCTGGGAATTTTGGGACTGTTATTCCATTGAATCCTTGTGAATTTTGGGACTGTTATTCCCTGGAGTCCTTGTGAATTTTGGGACTGTTATTCCCTGGAATCCCTGGGAATCTTGGGCATGTTATTCCCTGGAATCCCTGGGAATCTTGGGCATGTTATTCCCTGGAATCCCTGGGAATGTTTGGATTGTTATTCCCTGGAATCCCTGGGAATCTTGGGCATGTTATTCCCTGGAATCCCTGGGAATCTCGTGCCTCTCATTCCTTTCCATCCCAAGGATCTGCACCTTCCAAGGGCCCAATCCAAGAGAAAACTCAGGAATTCCCTTTCTGGAATCTCCTTTCTCCCAGCTGCCACCCTTCAGGAGTCAGCCCAGGCTGCTCCAATCCCATTTTTCCCGTTTTTCCAGGCGTTTTTTGCGGGAGACGCTGAAGATGTCGAACGCCGAGGACCTGAACCGCCTGACGGCGTGCTCGCTGGTGCTGCTGGGCCACATCTTCTACGTGCTGGGCAACCACAGGGTGACTCCCAGATACCCCCCATCCCTGGAATCCTGCCATGGGCATTCCCAAAAAAAATCCCCCAAAAAAATCCCGAAGGAAATCGGGATATGGGCGGGAATAATGGGATTTTTGAAGGGTTTTTTTAGTGCTGTCGCATCAGAAGTTGGGGTTTTTTATCCCCCTGGATCATCCAAATCCCTCCCAATCCCTGGAGTCCTGGAATTGGCATTCCCAGAACAAATCCCAAAAAAAAAGCCCTCCTTGTGAATTTTGGGACTGTTCTTCCCTGGAATCCCTGGGAATCTTGGGCATGTTATTCCCTGGAATCCCTGGGAATCTTGGGCATGTTATTCCCTGGAATCCCTGGGAATGTTTGGATTGTTATTCCCTGGAATCCCTGGGAATCTTGGGCATGTTATTCCCTGGAATCCCTGGGAATCTTGGGACTGTTATTCCCTGGAATCATTGGGAATTTTGGGACTGTTATTCCCTGGAATCCCTGGGAATCTCGTGCCTCTCATTCCTTTCCATCCCAAGGATCTGCACCTTCCAAGGGCCCAATCCAAGAGAAAACTCAGGAATTCCCTTTCTGGAATCTCCTTTCTCCCAGCTGCCACCCTTCAGGAGTCAGCCCAGGCTGCTCCAATCCCATTTTTCCTGTTTTTTCCAGGCGTTTTTTGCGGGAGACGCTGAAGATGTCGAACGCCGAGGACCTGAACCGCCTGACGGCGTGCTCGCTGGTGCTGCTGGGCCACATCTTCTACGTGCTGGGCAACCACAGGGTGACTCCCAGAGCCCCCCATCCCTGGAATCCTGCCATGGGCATTCCCAAAAAAAATCCCCCAAAAAATCCCGAAGGAAATCGGGATATGGGCGGGAATAATGGGATTTTTGAAGGGTTTTTTTAGTGCTGTCGCATCAGAAGTTGGGGTTTTTTATTCCCCTGGATCATCCAAATCCCTCCCAATCCCTGGAGTCCTGGAATTGGCATTCCCAGAACAAATCCCAAAAAAAAAGCCCTGAGAAAATCCCAAATTAAATCAGGGAATCCTTGGGAATCCATTGCCCTACAATCCCCAAGAGTCTTTAGGAATCTTGGGATTGTATTCCCTGCAATCCCAGAGAATCCCTGGTACTCTTGGAATTTTATTCCCTGCAATCCCAGGAAATTCATGAGAATTTTGGGTTTTTATTCCCTGCAATCCCAGGGAATTCTTGAGAATTTTGGGTTTTTATTCCCTGCAATCCCAGGGAATTCTTGGGAATTTTGGGATTTTTATTCCCTGCAATCCCAGGGAATTCTTGGGACGACTGTTACTCCCTTCCATCCCAAGAAATCTTGGGATTTTATTCCTTTCAATCCCAGCAAATCCTTGGGATCTGATTCCTTTTCATCCCAGGGAATCCCTGGGAATTTTGGGATTTTATTCCCTTCAATCCCAAGAAATCCTTGGGAATCTTGAACATTTTCCTGCCTTCCATCCCATCGAGCAGAGCGACAAAAATCCAATTTCCCACCGGGAATTTTCCATCTTTTCCACTCAACCCGTGCTGGAAAGGGCAAGAAAAAAATTCCCAAAAATCCCAATTTTCCCTTTTCCCTTCCTGATTTTCCTAGGAAAGCAACAACATGGTGGTGCCAGCCATGCAGCTGGCCAGCAAGATCCCAGACATGTCCGTGCAGCTCTGGTCCTCCGCCCTGCTCCGGGGTAAATCCAGGATCTGGGAAAATGGGAAACGGCCTGGGGAGGGTGGGAATGTGGGGATTATCCCAGGGGTGGGAATGTGCAGCTCCAGGGGTAATCAGGGATCTGGGAAAAAGGGAAATGGCCTGGGGAGGGTGGGGATTCCAGGGAAAATGTGGGGAATGGGAATGTGCAGGTCCAGGGGTGATTTGGGATCTGGGATTATCCTGAAAAACTGGGAAACGGCCTCACGGAGGGTGGGAATGTGGGGGAAATGTGGGAATTATCCCAAGGGTCTGGGGAAATGGGAATGTGCAGCTCCAGGGGTAATCAGGGATCTGGGAAAATGGGGAGGGTGGGGATTCCAGGGAAAATGTGGGGAATGGGAATGTGCAGCTCCAGGGGTGATTCGGGATCTGGGAGCAGCCTGGGAAAACGGGAAATGGCCTGGGGAGGTTGGGAATGATGGGGGATTATTCCCAGGGGTGGGAATGTGCAGCTCCAGGGGTGATTTGGGATCAGGAATTATCCTGGAAAACGGCCTCAGGGAGGGTGGGAATGTGGGGGAAATGTGGGAATTATCCCAAGGGTCTGGGGAAATGGGAATGTGCAGCTTCAGGGGTGATTCAGGATCTGGGATTATCCTGGAAAACTGGGAAATGGCCTCAAGGAGGCTGGGAATGATGGGATTATCCCAGGGGTGGGAATGTGCAGCTCCAGGGATCAGGGATTGTCCTGGAAAACGGCCTCAGGGAGGGTGGGAATGTGGGGGAAATGTGGGAATTATCCCAAGGGTCTGGGGAAATGGGAATGTGCAGCTCCAGGGGTAATCAGGGATCTGGGAAAATGGGGAGGGTGGGGATTCCAGGGAAAATGTGGGGAATGGGAATGTGCAGCTCCAGGGGTGATTCGGGATCTGGGATTATCCTGGAAAACTGGGAAATGGCCTCAAGGAGGCTGGGAATGATGGGGGAAATGTGGGGATTATCCCAAGGGTCTGGGGAAATGGGAACGTGCAGCTCCAGGGGTGATTTGGGATCTGGGATCAGCCCAGAAAACTGGGAAAGAGCCTTTGGGATAGTGGGAATTACAGGGGAAAATGTGGAGCTGATCCAAAGGCTGGGAATGTGCAGCTCCAGGGATAACTCAGGGTCAGGGATTATCCTGGAAAAATGGGAAACAGCCTTTGGGAGAGTGGGAATGACAGGGAAAATGTGGAGATTATCCCGAGGGTGTGGGGGACTGGGAGAGCTGGGAATGTGCAGCTCCAGGGGCAGTTTGGGATCCTTGGGAATCCATGTCCCTACAATCCCAAGGAATCTTCAGGAATCTTGGGATTTCGTTCTTTTACATCCCAGGGAATCCCTGGGAATTTTGGGATTTTATTCCCTGCAATCCTGAGGAATTCTTGGGAATTCTGGGATTTTATTCCCTGCAATCCCAGGGACTCCTTGGGATTTTGGTGCAGACCCCAAACCCAGAGAGGTTTTTTGGGATGAGGCAGCTCAGAGGTGGGAATGGGATGAATCCCAGGATTTTTCCAGAACAGGCTGGAAAGCCAAAAAAATCCCAACCCAGGCAATTCCTGGGATTTGGATGCTGCCAGGAGCTGGCAATCAGGGAAAATTTTGGGATCTCCGTGGAGCTTTTGGGGCTGATTTTGCCTCAAATCGAGGCGATTTTGGGATCTTATTCCCCGCAATCCCAGGGAACCCTCGGGATTTCGGTGCAGACCCCAAACCCAGGGAGGTTTTTTGGGATGAGGGGGGCTCAGAGGTGGGAATGGGCCGAATCCCAGGATTCCTGTGCCTTTTCCAGACCTGAACAAGGCGTGTGGCAATGCCATGGATGCCCACGAGGCCGCCCAGATGCACCAGAACTTCTCCCAGCAGCTGCTCCAGGACCACATCGAGGCCTGCAGCCTCCCCGAGCACAACCTGATCACGGTCAGAGCCCGGGAATTCCCAGAATTCCCAAAATTCCCACCTTGCCCACGGCAAAAAGCGCCCTGGAGGTCATTTTTAGGGGTTTTTTAATGGGATTTTTTTTAGTGTTGTCGCATCCAAAGTTGGGATTTTCCTCCTCCTGGATCATCAAAATCCCTCCCCAATCCCTGGGATCCTGCACTTGGCATTCCCAGAAGAGAAATTCCCAAAAAAAATCCCAAAGAAAATCAGGATGTGGGTGGGAATAATGGGATTTTTAAGGGGTTTTTTTAGTGCTGTCACATCCACAATTGGGATTTTCCTCCCTCTGGATCATCCAAATCCCTCCCAGTGGGATTTTGGCTTTGAAATCCCAAAAAAAAAAAACCCTGGAAAACCAAATCCTAGCAGGGTTCCCTGGTGGAATGTGGGATTCCCTGGGAATTCCATAATCCTGAGGCAATTTTCCCCATTTTTCCTGAGATTTTGGCTTTGAAATCCCAAAAAAAAAAAACCCTGGAAAACCAAATCCCAGCGGGATGTGGGGTTGGAATTTGGGATCCCTGGGGCAGGGAGGGTTTTCCTGGGAATTCTGTGATGCTGAGGGAGTTTTCTGGGAATTTTTCCTGGGATTCTGATCCAGTTTTTCCCTTGCAGTGGACGGATGGACCCCCCCCAGTCCAGTTCCAGGCCCAGAACGGCCCCACCACCAGCCTGGCCAGTCTGCTGTGAATTCCAGGAAAATTCCAGGAAAATTCCAGGAAAACTCCAGGAAAACTCCAGGATATCCACCAACAACATCCCGGGACGGGAAGGAAAAAAAAAAAAAAAAAAAAAGGCATCAAAAACTTGGGAAAAGAAACAAAAAAAAATTCCACGGAAAAGCTTCAGAATTCCCTCTGGTAGTGAAAAAAACCCAGGAATTTTCCAGGGATTCCCAGAGCCTCCGGAGCTGCTTTTCCAGGTGGGAATATCCAGGTGAATCCCAAGGTTGGATCCTGGAGGGAATTGCCAGGAAAAGCTGGGAATCCTCAGGGATAAGGGGATGAGGAAATCATGGATTGGATTCCCAGCTGGAATTCCCCGAGTGGAAATTCCCATTTTTTTGGGAAGGAGGAATTCCAGGATTTCCTGGGACGTCCCTCCCTGCAGCCACAGCTCTCCCCATGCTTTTGGGATTGGGAAAAATCCGGAGTTTTCCTGCTGATCCCAAATTTTTCCAAGCTGAAGGCACCACCTGTGCCTTAAGAATTCCCAAATCCTGGGAATAAATCCCAATCCTGAGGTTTGGGATGGAATTCCAGCCTTGCCCTTGGCACAAAATTCCTTTTTCCAGGTTAAATTCCCTGGTTTTAACCCAGTTTTTTTTTGATTTCCCAGAAATCTGGGAATGCTGCATCCCAGAAAAAAGCTGGAAGTTTTTCCAGGATCCCAGCAGTGCCTGGGGTGAAACTGAGTTGTTTTTCCCAGTTGGAATTTCTCCAGATTTCTGGGAAAGGGGGTGGGAAAAAACCTCTGGAATTCTTGGAGAGAGGAAAACCAAAGCCCTGGAACTGCCAGAGATTTTTGGGAATTTTTAGTCCCACCTGGATAGGAAAGAACCTTAAAATTCCCTTAAAATTCCCTCATTCCCTTTCCTTCCCAAATCCCATCTTTTTCCAGAGCAAGGAATTTTTTCCACCTAAATTCCTCAATTTTTTTCCTCTGGAATTCAGGGATGAGGTTTTTGTTTTTGGTTGTTTTTTGTTTTTTTTTTTGGTCCCATTCCCAAAAATTTGCATTTTCCATTTTTTTTCTGTGGAAATCCTGGTCCTAAATCTGCAAAGGACCTGGAAATCCCTGGAAGTTTTGGGAATTGGGATTTTTTATTCTGGATTTTTTTTTTTTGTTTTTTTTTTTTTTTTTTTTGGTCCCATTCCCAAAAATTTGCATTTTCCATTTTTTTTCTGTGGAAATCCTGGTCCTAAATCTGCAAAGGACCTGGAAATCCCTGGAAGTTTTGGGAATTGGGATTTTTTATTCTGGATTTTTTTTGGGGGGGGATTAAGGAAAACCCTCAGTGCCATTTGAACTGAAAAAAACAGGGGAAAAAATCCCCCAAAATTCCCAAATCCATGGATTTTCCAGCCTGGATCGGGGGGGGATTAAGGAAAACCCTCAGTGCCATTTGAACTGAAAAAAAAAACAGGGAAAAAAATCCCCCAAAATTCCCAAATCCATGGATTTTCCAGCCTGGATCCAGGGAATTCCCATGGGAAACTCCTGGGGTTTTTTTTTGGGATATTTGGGATCCCACAGAGACAGAACCATTCCAGGAATTTTGGGATTTGCATCAGGAACTGGGGGAGTTTCCCCAATTTTGAATTTTTTGGGAAGCACATTCCCAGTTTTTATTTCCTCTGAGGTGCAACAATTCCTTGGAATCTTTTTCCTTGGAATTTTCCTGGCTTGGGAAAGGCTGAAATTCCCAAATCCCAGCCAGGAAATCCAAATTTTCCTTTCTAACTCTGGAATATTCCAGAACATTCTGCAATTTCAGGCCCAACTCGGATCCAGCTTGGAATTTTGGGCTCAAATTCCCAACTTTTGGGCTGGAAAAGCCTCGGGATGATCCCAATCCCAGGGCAGGGACACTTCCACTATTCCAGGCTGCTCCCACCTGCATTTGAGCACTTCCAGGGCGGCCAAATCCCAAAAATTTTGGGGAAAAAACACGGAAAAAAATGGGGAAAAATTGGGAAAAATCCCAATTCTGGAGAGCTGTGGTTGGGGCTGAGCTTTGGGAATTCCCCAGGTGGGAAAAGATCCTTTCCCACCCCCGGAGACGCCGAGGAAGGAGCAGAATTCCCAAAAAATTCCCCAAAATTCCCAATTTTCCGCCTTCCATCTCCTGTAAAAATCCATCAAAAATCGGTGAAACAGCCGGAAAATCCCTTGGGAATTCTGGTGGGGGTTGGGGTGGGAGCTCTGAGCTGATCCAGCTCCCGGAATTCCCAAATTCCCGGCGGAAATTCCAATGTACAGAGCTTTTTACCATTGTATATTAAATTATTTAATAGCTTTTCGTGGCAGTTTTTCCTTTTTTATTTCATGGGAAGGAGGAGCTGAAATTCCTCGGAATTTTGGAGGAAAAATCCAGGATTTTCTCTGGGTTGATTTGAGTTTTTTCCTCCTAAAATCATGGAATTCTCTGGAGAAATGAGCACAAAATTCTTAAAAATAGAACTATTTTAGGGAATTGGAGAGGTTTTTGTAGGATTTTTCGTGGAAAAAACAGGATTTCTCCCTAAAATCTCATGCCTGGTGTGGATAGTATAAAAATAATGGGATTTCTGTTCAGAGCCTGCAGCTGTTTTCCATCTGGATCCCATTCCTGAGAATCCCCCAAAACGGAAAAATCCCCGCAATTTCCCCAAAAATTAAAAAAAAAAAAATCCCCCCAAAAAATCCTCCAAAGATCCCCAAAAAATCCTCTGTCAATTCCCCAAAACCCCCTCAAAATTCCCCAATATTCCCCAAAAAATTCTCCCAAAATTCCAAACAAGTCCCTCCAGAATTCCCAAAAAAAAAAAAAAAAACCCCCAAAATTTTCCAGGGAAAGTTTGACACCTGTGGTGCCAGGAGGAGGAGGGGGGTGAGTTTTGGGGTGAAATCCTGGGAATTGGGGAGGAAGGGATGAAAGTCACCCCAAAAATGTCACCCTGGGGGGGGGGGGCCACCCAAAAAACAAAAAATCCTTAAAAATCCCCCCCAAAAATCATCCAAAATCCCCCAAAAGTTTCAAACCCCACCGGGAGCGATCCCAAATCCCACCGGGAACGATCCCAAATCCCACCGGGAACGGTCCCCGATCCCACCGGGCCGGATCCCGGCGGAGCAGCCGGACCGGACCGGGCAGCTCTGACCCAGTTCAGCCCCTGAGTCACGGAGCGGGGCCCGGCCCCGGGCCCTGCCCCTGCCGCCGGTCCCCGGCCCCGCCCGGCCCTCAGCCGGCCCGGCCGCAAGCCCGCCCGCAGAACCGGCTCCGCCGGCCCCGGTGCCTCCCCCGCTTCCTGCCGCCGGCCCCCCCCTATCAGCGGCCCCAGCGCGGCCTGCGCGGGCGGATAAGGGCGGCGGGGCCGGCCCCTCCCCGCGCCGCCATCACCTCAGCCGGCCCCGGGAGGAGCCAGCGCGGCCCGGCCCCGGGGGAACCGGCCCCGCCGCACCGCCCCCTCCCCGCGGGCCGCGCTCTCATTGGCTCCTCTTGGGGGCACGCTGGCTCCTGTTGGATAGCTCAGCTATCAATCAAATGCAGACCACGCCTCTTTCCTCCCTCACGGCAGGGGCGAGGCGCGCACCGCGGGGTCGCGCCGCTGATTGGTTAATATGCCCGTCAATCAAACACAAACCGCGCCTTTTTCATCACGGCTTACTACGGAGGCGGTCCTACTGCTGACTCTTCGAACCGATTGGCTGCAGGGCAGGCAACCCACCTTTCTATTTGCCGGCGCCTCTGTCAATCATTAGTTTAAAGATTAAAAAAAAACCCACCCAACGCAGCGCCCCAGGCCTGGGCAGGGGGCGTGGCCGGGCGCGAGGGTGTCCCAAATCTGCCTGGCAACGGGGGGGGTCCCGGGTTGGGAAGTCCGAGGGGAGGGTGGGCACGGGTGAGGGGGTGCCAGGGAGGAGCGGGAGTGCATCCTGGGAGTTGCCCGATAGGCACAGCCACCAGAGCATGTCAGCAAAGGCGGATTATTGGTGCCAGAGCCTTGGGAAGGCGGGGGAGGGGAGTGGGGGAGGGGACGGGCCACCACCGGGGCCACCGGGGCCACCAGGCCACGGCTCGGGGCTGCCCAGGCCGGCCGGGGAGCGCGGGGAGCCCTGAGGGAGCCCCCCCGAGCCCCGGGGACCGCGCTGTGGCCGCGGCTGTCCCCGGTGTGCGACGGGCCCGGAGTGGCACTCCGGAAACACGGAGAAAGTTTTGGGCACGGGGCGGGGAAACGCGGGGAGAGGAGCGGGGATGTGCGGGGAAAGGAGCGGGGATGTGAGGGGAGAGATGAGGGGGAAAAGGAGCGGGGATGTGCGGGGAGATGAGGGGGAAAAGGAGCGGGGATGTGCGGGGAGAGATGAGGGGGAAAAGGAGAGGGGATGTGCGGGGAGATGAGGGGGAAAGGAGCGGGGATTTGCGGGGAGATGAGGGGTGCAGGGAATTCTGAGGGGTTTGGGGAGAACTGAGTGGTACAGGAAAAGTTGAGGGGTTTGGGGAAAAGTTGAAGGGTTGAAGGGGAAAACAGGGATGCAGGAAATACTAAGGGGTTTGGGGAAAGGCTGAGGGATGCAGGGAATGCTGAGGGGTTTGGGGAAAAATGAGGGGTGAGGAGAAACTGAGGGGTTTGGGGAGAACTGAGTGGTACAGGAAAAGTTGAGGGGTTTGGGGAGAAGTTGAAGGGTTGAAGAGAAAAACAGGGATGCAGGAAATACTGAGGGGTTTGGGGAAAAGTGAGAGGTGCAAGAAAAGTTGAGGGGTTTGGGGAAAAGTTGAAGGGTTGAAGGGAAAAACAGGGATGCAGGAAATACTAAGGGGTTTGGGGAAAGGCTGAAGGATGCAGGAAATGCTGAGGGGTTTGGGGAAAACTGAAGGGTGCAGGGAATTCTAAGAGATTTGGGGGAAACTTGAGTGGTACAGGAAAAGCTGAGAGGTTTGGGGAAAAGTTGAAGGGTTGAAGGAAAAAACAGGGATGCAGGAAAAGCTGAGGGATTTTGGGAGAACTGAGGGGTTTGAGGAAAAAGCTGAGGGATTGGGGGAAACAGGGGCTGAGGGAAAGCTGAGGATCTGCTGGAAAATCCCAGGGGCTGCTGGAAAACTTGAGGGTCTGGGGCAAAATCTGAGGGTTTGGCCTAAAATTGAAGGGTTTGTCCTAAAATCTGAGGGGCTGAAGGGAAAGCTGGGGCTGCACTGGAAAACCTCAGGGGTGGCAGGGAAACTCAGGGCTCTGCTGGAAAACTCAAGGGATTTTCTGCTGGAAAATCCTTGGGTCTGTCCCAAAATCTGAGGGTCTGTTCCAAAATCTGAGGATCTGTCCCAAAACTTGAGGGTCTGTCAGAAAAGTTGGGGTTCTGCTGGAAAACCTGAGGGGCTGTCCCAAAATCCAGGGATTTGTGCCAAAACTCGAGGTTCTGCAGGAAATCCTGAGGGTTTGCCCCAAATCCTGGGATTCTGCTGGAAAACCCCAAGCTCTGAGTGAATCCCGAGGATTTATGGGATAATCCAAGGATCTGCTGGAAAACCCTCAAAACTCCGAGGGTCTGCCCCAAAAGATCCCCTGGAAAACTCTGGGATTCACTGGAAAACCCGAGGGGCTGGGGCAGAACTGCAGGGGTTGTCCCAAACTGCCCAAATCCAGGGCTTTTCCCCAAAACCTGCGGGCCTGGGGATCTGCTGGAAAACCTGAGAGCCTGTGGGAAGGTCTGGGGTGGATCCCAGGGATCTGGGTGAGATCCGTGCTTCTGTCCCAAATCTGTGGTTCTGTCCCAAATCCCAGGATTTTGTGGTGAAACCCAAGGGTCCGTCCCAAATTCTGGGGGGTCTGTGGTGAATCCCAAGGGTCCATCCCAAATCCAGGCTCCATCCCAAATATCTGTGTGAAATCCAGGCTCCATCCCAAATATCTGTGTGAAATCCAGGCTCCATCCCAAATCCCAGCTCCATCCCAAATCCAGGTTCCATCCCAAATCCCAGGGTTCCATCCCAAATCCAGGCTCCATCCCAAATATCTGTGTGAAATCCAGGCTCCATCCCAAATCCCAGCTCCATCCCAAATCCCAGGGTTCCATCCCAAATCCCAGGGTTCCATCCCAAATCCAGGCTCCATCCCAAATCCAGGCTCCATCCCAAATCCCAGGGTTCCATCCCAAATCCACATTCCATCCCAAATTCCAGGTCCATCCCAAATCCCAGGGTTCCATCCCAAATCCAGGCTCCATCCCAAATCCCGGTTCCATCCCAAATCCTGGGTCCATCCCAAATCCAGGCTCGATCCCAAATCCAGGCTCGATCCCAAATCCAGGCTCGATCCCAAATCCAGGCTCGATCCCAAATCCAGGCTCGATCCCAAATCCAGGCTCGATCCCAAATCCAGGCTCGATCCCAAATCCAGGCTCGATCCCAAATCCAGGCTCGATCCCAAATCCAGGCTCGATCCCAAATCCAGGCTCCATCCCAAATATCTGTGTGAAATCCAGGCTCCATCCCGAATCCCAGGGTTCCATCCCAAATCCTGGTTCCATCCCAAATCCAGGCTCCATCCCAAATCCAGGCTCCATCCCAAATCCCAGGGTTCCATCCCAAATCCCAGGGTTCCATCCCAAATCCCGGCTCCATCCCAAATCCTGGTTCCATCCCAAATCCCAGGGTTCCATCCCAAATCCAGGCTCCATCCCAAATCCCAGGTTTCCATCCCAAATCCACGTTCCATCCCAAATCCAGGCTCCATCCCAAATCCCAGGTTTCCATCCCAAATCCACATTCCATCCCAAATTCCAGGCTCCATCCCAAATTCCAGGCTCCATCCCAAATCCCAGGGCTGCCAGGACCAGGAAATTCCCTTTAATTCCCCCCCATTCTCCCTCAGCTTTGCCCCCTTTTTTTGGGATTTGGGGAGTTGGAGAAAATCCAATTAATTCTGAATTTTCCCCTGCCCCCTCCCCCCCCTTCCACTCTTTTCCCTGTTTTTGGGGGAAAATCCAATTTCAGGATTTTTTTTTAGAGAGGCTGTTGGGAAAATTGAAGGATTTGGGGGGGATTCATTCCCAAATTTTGATCAAGGAGTAAATTCCCGGTGGGAAAATAGGGAAAAACTCCATTTGTTTTAACTTAAATTTAAGGAAAAGTTACTTTGTTTCAACTAAAATTCCTTAAAAAGTTGGAAATTGGAATTTGCTGAGTCCAAAGCAGTGGAAATTCCAAGGAAAAGTGTGGAATATTTCAGTCTGGGGAGAGGAAAATGGGGCTTTGAGAAGGAAAATGGAATTTGGGAAGGAAAATTCATGTTTTGGGAAAGAAAATCCCTGTTTTTTAGAGGAACATGGAGTTTTAGGAAGGAAAATCTGTGTTTTAGGGATGAAAATCCCAGTTTTTAGAAGGCAGTCAGCTTTTAAAATTTGGATTTGGCTTTTTTCCCTCCCAAAAAAACTGGAAAAAGAACTTTTTCAGGAGTTTAAGCACGAATCCCAACTCCAGACCAGCCCCTGTTGGAGCTGCGTTTTCCAGGGAATAAAATGGAGCTGAAATTTCCATTTGACGCTCCGAAAAATCCCAAAAATCCTTGAAAAATTCCCATTTCCTGCTGCCAAGAATTCCAGAGGGGATTGCAGGACCCGGCTTGTCCAGGCTGGGGCTGGAGCTGGGAAAATTTGGGATGAAATCCCCCAAATTCAGCCACTTTTCCTTGGGAATCTGCTTGGGATGAGTTTTCTTGGGAATTCCTGATCCCTGTTTCCATGGGGATGGGACAGAAGGGTTAAACCTCGGGATAGGGGCCCAAAATCCAAGGATTTGGGATGGGATTTGGGTATTCCTGACCCTCAGGATCCCTTCCCATCCCGGGATCTCCAGCTGGAATTTGGGGAGTGCACGGAAAACAGGGGATTTGTGGGGATGTATTCCTGGAATTCTGGATTTATTCCTGGAATTCTGGGACGGTTTGGGATGGAAGGAGCTGAGGGATCAGCCAGTCCCACCCCACGCCTTCCATGATCCCAGACTGGGACATCCCAGGGATCCAGGGGCAGCCACGGCTGCTCTGGGAATTCCAGCCAGGAATTCCTGCCCAAATCCCACCCAAATTCCACTTTTCCAGTTCAAATCCATTCCCTGGGTCCTGGAATCCCAAATCCATTCCCTGTGCCCTGGGATTCCCATCCCAAATCCATTCCCTGTGCCCTGGGACTCCCATCCCAAATCCATTCCCTGGGTCCTGGAATTCCCAAATCCATTTCTATGTCCTGGAATTCCATCCCAAATCCATTCCCTGGGTCCTGGAATTCCATCCCAAATCCATTCCCTGTGACCTGGGATTCCATCCCAAATCCCAAATCCTCTCCAGCTCCTTTGGAACTCCTTGCACCTCTGGAAGCAGCTCCAAGTTTTCCTTGGATCCTTCCCTGCCTGGCCATCCCAGGGATCCAGGGGCAGCCCCAGCTTCCCTGGGAATCCCATCCCATCCCATTCCAGCCAGGAATTTCTTCCCAATCCCATCCCTCCCTGAGGGAAGAGCCAGAAAATCCCAAAACCTTCCCTGGGAGAGTTGGGAGCCTCTGGAACGAGGCAGAAAACTGGAGCAGGAATCCCAAAAGAACCTGAAAAACTTTGGGATCTCTCCCATCCCGGGACATTCCCACTTCCACAGGGATGGGATTTTATCCAGGGAAGCTCTTTGGGGTGACATCCACGGGATTTTTCCAGCTTTGGGATGGAATCCCTGGAATTTTTTCCCCAGTGTGGGGTGATGTCCATTGGATATTCCCATTTTGGAATGGCATCCATGGGATTTTCCAAGTTTTCATTGATATCCATGGAATTTGTCCACTTTGGAGTGGCATCCATTGGATTTTTCCAGCTTATATCCACTGGATTTTCCTGCTTTGGGGTGTTATCCATAGAATTTTCCCACTTTTGAGATGGAATCCATGGAATTCTCCAAGTTTTGGTTGACATCCATTGGATTTTTCCAAGTTTTGGGATGGAATCCTTGGAATTTTCCCAGTTTGGGGTGAGATCCATTGGATTCTTTCCAGTTTTGGGATGATATCCAGGGAATTTTTCCAGTTTTGGGATGGCATCCATGGAGTTTTCCCAAAAGTTGGGTGATATCCCTGGAATTTTCCACATTTGGGACGTTGTCCATTGGATTTGTCCAAGTTTTTGGTGACATCCATTGGATTTTCCAGCTTTGGGATGGCATCCATGGGATTTTCCAGGTTTTAGGGTCATATCCATGGAATTTTCCCACTTTTAGGGTGGCATCCATTGGATTTTTCCAGGTTTTAGGTTGATATCCATGGAATTTTCCAGGTTTTGGGGTGGCATCCATAGGATTTTCCAGCTTTTGGGGTGATTTTCTCTGGGATCAGCCCTGTGTTCCCCCCTGCAGGAATATTTGGGATTCTCAATCCTGGATTTCACTTTCCCAAATCCTTCCAAACTCCAGCAATTTGGGGTTTTTAGGGATTTCTTCTTGGATTGGGGCAACAGGAGGGCGAGGGAAAAATGGGAATGAGCTGGAAAAGCACGGGAGGGATCCAGGAATAATAATTAATTAATAATCAATAATCCCAGAGCTCCCAATTCCTTCTGCCGTTAATTTGGTGGAAAACCACTGAAATTTGGGATTTTGGATTTGGCTCCAGCCAAACTTCCCTGGAAAAGTCTTTGCCCAAAATCCTGGGGATGCCAGGCCCTGATCTGGGGGGAATTTCCTGGGATTTGGGGGGATCTGCTGGGATCTGGGAGGAGTTTCCTGGGATTTGGGGGGATGTGTGGGGTCTGGGAGGAGTTTCCTGGGATTTGGGGGGGTCTGTGGGATCTGGGAGGAGTTTCCTGGGATTTGGGGGGGTCTGTGGGATCTGGGGAGCCGGGAGCTGTTCCGGGAGTTTCCTGGGATTTGGGAATTCTCCGGGCGAGTTTTGGGCCGGGGCTCTCCTCGGGCTGTCCCGGGGCTGCCGAGCTTTAGTGGGATCGGAGCCGGGCCCTGCCCCGCCCCGCCCCGCGCCTCCCGGAGCCACCGCGGCCCTGACACCGCCGCTGTCCCCGCTGTCCCCTCGCTGTCCTTTCTCTGTCCCCCCTGTCCCTTCTCTGTCCTTTCTCTCTCCCCTCTCGCTGTCCCCTCTGTCCCCTCTCTCTCTCCCCTTGCTGTCCCCTCTCTCTGTCCCCTCTCTCCCCTGTCTCTGTCCCTTCTCTGTCCCTTCTCTGTCCCCTCTCTGTCCCCTCTCCCTGTCCTCTCTCTCCTCTCTCTCCCCTCACTCTGTCCCCTCTCTGTCCCCTCTCTCTGTCCCCTCTGTCCTCTCTCTGTCCCCTGTCTCTGTCCCCTCTCTCCTCTCTCTGTCCCCCCTCTCTCCCCTGTCTCTGTCCCCTCTGTCCCCTCTCTCTCTCTCCACGTGGCCTCTCCCAGCGCGGCGCTGCCCGCGCGCCCCCCGCCCGCCGCCCCAGCCAATCAGGGCTCTCCTCTCATCATCCGCGCGACCCCCGCGGCCAATGGGGGCCCGCGACACAAGCGCGGCTCCCCCCGCGCCGCGCCCGGAAGCGGCGGCGGCCGCAGCGCCGCGAGGGGCCCGGCCCGGAGCGACCCGGAGCGCTCCCGGTGCTGTCCCCCCGCTGTCCCCTCGCTGTCCCCTCGCTGTCCTCACGCTATCCCCCGCTGTCCCCACGCTGTCTCACCGCTGTCCCCACGCTGTCCCCTCCGCCGGCCCCGCCGCTCGGCCGCCCCGCCCCGCGCATGCTCTGCCGGTGCCGCCGCGACTCCATGTGTGAGGAGCGCATTATCGGCACCGGGAGCCGCGGCGGCCACGGGAGCCACCGGGAAAGCCCCGCAACAAGCGGGAGAGCGGCGGGGCCGGCGCGGGGAGAGCGGAGCGGAGCCGGGAGCGCGGGGCGGGCTCGCTGCGGATGCGGCGCGGAGCTACCGGAGCGGCGCCCTGCGAGTTCTCCCGGTAAAAGTTCTCCCGGCGTTTATTGGCTCCGGTACCGGAGCGACGGCACCGCCGGGATTTTGGGAGAACGGAGGCCGGGATGCGGGAGAGCTGCCGGGGAAGTTCCGGCATTTCCTGGCCGTGCGGGCAGCCCGGAAAGTGCAAAGTCCCGCTGGCCGCGGCTCCGGCCCCGGCCGCCCCTGAGCCCCGAGCCCGCGGCACCGGGGCCGCTCCGGGATCCCGGGGCTCGCCCCCCCGGGAGCCCCAGCTCCGCCGCCCGCCCAGCGCCCCGGGGCGCCGCCGGCTTTTGTTTGGGAAAGTTGCTGCGGGCTTTCCGCCGGGCTGCTTCCTCTTCCTCCTCTTCCTCCTCCTTCTCCTCCTCCTCCTCCTCTTCCTCCTCCGCCGCCGCCCCGAGCGCTCCGTGCCCGCTCCCCTCCGCGCTCCGCACCGGGGACACGGAGGAACACGGGGGGACACGGGGACCCCCCGAAACCCCCCCGGTCACTCCGTGCTCACCCCCCGCTCACCCCCCGGTCACCGCGACCCTCCCCGGTGTCCCCGGGGGTCAATCCCCGCTGTGCAAAGCCGCGATCCCCCCCGCTGTCGCCGTGGCCGGTGCCCCCCGGTGCCCCCGGTGCCGGAGCCCGCGGTGGCCGCGGCCGGGCCGTGCGGCCGGGCCGGGCCGTGTCACAATAAGAGTCCCCGGCCGCCCTTCCTGCGCCCGGGGCACCGGCAATGGCACCGGCACCGGCACCGGGATGCGCTGCCCGGGATCGGGATCGGCGCTGGCATCCGCACCGGGATGGGGATTGGCACCGGGATGGGGATCAGCACCGGCACCGGGATGGGGATTGGCACCGGGACCGGGATGGGCACCGGGATTGGCACCGGGACCGGGATGGGCACCGGGATTGGCACCGGGATGGGGATTGGCACCGGGACCGGGATGGGCACCGGGATTGGCACCGGGATGGGGATTGGAACCGGGACCGGGATGGGCACCGGGACTGGGATTGGGACTGGCACCGGGATCCGCACCGGGATCGGGATCAGCACCGGGACAGGGATTGGCAGAGGGATGGGGATTGGCACCGGGATCAGCACCGAGATTGGCACCGGGATGCACTGCCCCGGGGGGATCCCGGGGGTCCGGGGGGATGCGGGATAATCCCGGCCCCACACAGCACACGGTGGGCAGAGGGAAAGCGGGAATTGCGGAATTCCAGCCGGGAACGGCTCCCGGGATGGGATGGGATGGGATGGGGTGGGGTGGGATCCTGCCAGGATGGGATCGTTCCCGCTGGGATCCTTCCTGATGAATCCTTCCCGCTGGGATCGTTCCCGCTGGGATCCTTCCTGATGAATCCTTCCCGCTGGGATCGTTCCCGCTGGGATCCTGCGGGATGCGAGGTCGGGATTCACATCCCGGCTTTTCCCCAGCATCTCCTCTCTCTTTTCCTGGGGACACCCGGGAATTGAGACACCTGGGATTGTGGCCCCACACGGGGAAATGGGCAGAGAATTCCAGCCGGGAATGCCTCACTCGGGATCGGAGCTGGGTTCACATCCCGAGAGGTTCCCGGCTGCTTTTCCAGGATTTTCCCAGCCCGCCGCTCGGTTTTCCTTGGGCTTGTCCGGGATTTCGCTGCCTTGCTCGGGCTGGAATTCAGAGCTGTCCCAAATGCCGGGAATGCTCCAATCCCAGCTGGAATTCAGAGCTGTCCCAGATCCCGGGAATGCTCCAGTCCCAGCTCTGGGCTCCGGGGCTGCTCCGTCCTGTCCTGCCGGGAACCGGAGCTGGGAGAGGCACAGGAAGTGACAGCGAGAGAGAGGCCTTTGGGAATCCGGGATGGCAGCGCCTGGAGCCGGCCTGGGAGCAGCGGGACAGGGCTGGGATCGGGCTGGGAGCAGTGGGAAAGGGCTGGGATCGGTCTGGGATCAGCCTGGGATCAGTGGGAGAGGGCTGGGATCAGCCTGGGATTGGCCTGGGAGCAGCGGGACAGGGCTGGGATCAGTAGGGAAGGGCTGGAATCAGCCTGGGAGCAGCGGGACAGGGCTGGGATCAGCCTGGGAGCAGTGGGAAGGGGCTGGGATCAGCAGGAATGCTGTGGATTTAGGGAAAGGGGCTGGGATCAGCCTGGGATCAGTGGGAAGGGGCTGGGATTGGCCTGGGATTGGTCTGGGATCAGCAGGGAAGGGCTGGGATCAGTGGGAAAAAGACTAGGATCTGCTGTGGATTTTGGGAAAAGGGCTGGGATCGTGCTGGGATCAGCAGGAGAGGGGCTGGAATCTGCCGGGGGTTTTGGGAAAAGAGAGGGAAGTGGCAAAATCCCTTGGATTTTGGGCAAGGGGCTGAAAGCTGCTAGGGATCAGCAGGAAGGGGCTGGAATGTGCCTGGGAATTTTGGAAAGGGGCTGGGATCTGCCTGGGATTTTGGGAAAGGGATTGGAAGCAGCCTTGGATCAGCAGGAAAGGGGCTGGAAGTTGGGAATGCTGGAAAGTTGAGAGTGCTGGAAAGTTGGGAATGCTGGAAGTTGGGGTGTTCTGGGAATGTTTCAAATCCCAAAATTCCAGATCCAAAGCAGGGATGTTGCTGATGGAATTCTAAAGCCAGAGGTGAACCCTGAAAGGAAATAAATCCCTCTTTTCCCATGGATTCATGGAATTCTGGGATGGGAAGGAGCTCAGGGATCAGGCAGGAACATTCCCAGGTTTTTCCAGGCTGCCCTGGGAATTCCCTGCTGCTCCCTCTCCAGTTTTTCCCACAGATCCCAAACTTTTCCAGGATTTTCCCCACCTGATCCATCCGGGGGCTTCTTCCCAAGAATCCCGAGCTCTAACATAGCTGGAATTCCAGAATTCCAGGAATTCCCAGTGAAATCTGAGGAATTCCAGCTCTCCTGGATCCTCAGAGCTTCCCAAACTTTGGGAAAGCAGCCGGGGCAGCTCCGAATTCCAAAGGATTTTCTGGGATTTTCCCAGATCCTCTTAACCACGAACAGCTCCGGGTGAGCTCCGCTAATTCCCCCTGGAATTCCCGGGATCACGGGGCCGGAGCAGCCGGGAAAACCTGGGAATGGCTGAAGAATCCAGGCCCAGGAAAACCGGGAATGGAGGGAAATCTGGGAATTCCGTGGATGGAAACTGGGAATAGGAGAGAAATCTGGGAATGACAGGAAATCTGGGCCTTCCATGGATGGAAACTGGGAATGACAGGAAATCTGGGAATTCCATGGATGGAAACTGGGAATGGAGGGAAATCGAGAGAAATCTGGGAAGTCCTGTCCCGGTCTCACCTGTCCTGGGCCAGTCTCACCTGGAAACTGGGAATGGAGAGAAATCTGGGCATTCCATGGATTTCAGTGCCTGGAAAATTCGTGGGATGAATCAGAATTCCCAAATCCTAACTCCCAGCATTGTGTTGTACTTTGGGATTCCCAATTCCCGGGGCTGTGCCGTGCTGATATTCCCGATTTTCATGGTGGAACTGTTGCTCTGGGATTCCCAAATCCCAGCTCTGTGCCAGCATTCCCAAACCCCAGCATTCCCAAATCCCAGCTCTGTGCCAGCATTCCCAAACCCCAGCATTCCCAAATCCCATCATTCCTAAATCCCAGCATTCCCAAACCCCAGCTCTGTTCCAGCATTCCCCATCCTGGCTGTTTCCCTCAGGAACGTGGGAATTCCCGGAATTCCTGGAATTCTCACCCCTCTCTCTCTGTTCCCGCAGGATCCTCAGCTCTGGCTCATCCCCACAGGACCCCATGAACTTCCCTGACAGGTAGGAGCCGGCAGTTCCTGGGAATTCCTGGGAATTTGATGGGATGGGGAATCTCTGCCTGGAATCTTCTCCTGGAACAGCTGGAGAGGAGCTTTCCCAAAAATCCCCGTGAATTCCCAAAATCCCGAGGGATTTGAGCCGATTCCTGAGGAAATCTCCTGGATTTTCCAAGGGATTTAGGAATTCCAGAGGATCCAGAGCTCCTGGAATTCCTGCTGGGGTTGTCCTGCGGGACTGGAGCAGGGATGGGATTTTGGGGATTTGGGGGGTTGGGATTTGGGGGATTTTGGGAGTTTGGGATTTTGGGGAATTGGGAATTTAGGAAGGATTTGGAGCCAGGAGTGCTCAGGGAGGAGGCATGGCTGGGCTCACCTGGGCTGAGCTCACCTGGGCAGGTGTTCTCCATTGTAGGTGCTCACCTGTGTCAGCGCTCCCCTGTCCCGTGCAGCTCTCACCTGTCCCGGTCTGGTCCCACCTGTCCCAGTCTGGTCCCACTGTCACGATCTCACCTGTCCTGGTCTCACCAGGGCAGCTCTCACCTGTCCCCGTCTGGTCCCACCTGTCCCAGTCTCACCTGTTCCGGTCTGGTCCCACCTCTCCTGGTCTCACCTGTCCTGTCCCGGTCTCACCTGTCCTGGTCTGGTCCCACCTGTCCTGGTCTCACCTGTCCCAGTCTCACCTGTCCTGTCCCGGTCTCACCTGTCCTGATCTGGTCTCACCTCTCCTGATCTGGTCTCACCTGTCCTGGTCTGGTCTCACCTGTCCTGGTCTCGCCTGTCCCGGTTCTCCCCCCTCACCCCCACAGTTTTTACCTGGACAGGTTCTCACCTGCTCAGCTCTCACCTGCTGGGTTCTCACCTGCCCGCCGGAGATGTCGCCTGTGTGTCCCACCTGCTCCTGGTCCCACCTCTCCTGGTCTCACCTGTCCTGGTCTCACCTGTCCCGGTTCTCCCCCCTCACCCCCACAGTTTTTACCTGGACAGGTTCTCACCTGCTCAGCTCTCACCTGCTGGGTTCTCACCTGCCCGCCGGAGATGTCGCCTGTGTGTCCCACCTGTCCCACCTGTCCTGGTCTCACCTGTGTGTCCCACCTGTCCCACCTGTGCAGGTCTCACCTGTCCTGGTCTCACCTGTGCAGGTCCCACCTGTCCCTGTCCCACCTGTCCTGTCCCTGTCTCACCTGTGGGGCTCCCGTGTGTGGGTGCTCACCTGGGCAGGGCCTCCCCTCTCCCCTGGGATTGTCCCAGGATCCTCTGGCTCTGGAATTCCTGGGAAAATGGAAAGGATTGTCCTGGGAAAAGGACGCAATTGTCCCGGGATAGGAATGGGATTGTCCTGGGATAGGAGTGGGATTGTCCTGGGATCCTCTGGCTCTGGAATTCCTGGGAAAGGGCCGGGATAGGGAAGGGGTTGTCCCAGATCCTTTGGCTCTGGAATTCCTGGAAAAGGGAAAGGATTGTCCTGGGAGAAGGCCGGGATTGTCCCGGGACAGGAACGAGATTGTCCTGGGATAGGAGTGGGATTGTCCCGGGATCCTCTGGCTCTGGAATTCCCGGGACAAGGAAAGGGCCGGGATTGTCCCGGGATTGTCCCGGGATCCTCTGGCTCCAGCATTCCTGGGAAATTCTTTTTTGAAGGATTCAGGAATTTGGGTGGATGAATAAGAAAACTCCTTGGGAATTCCGATGTTCCTGCTGCTTTTCCCACTTTTCTCCTGGGTGGTCCCGCTGGGGAGGGAATTCCCAGCTGGAATCTCTGGAATCCCAATTCCAAGGAATTCCCAGCCTGGAATTTCCCCATTCCCAGCTGGAAAACGGGAATATTTAAGGATGGAAATTCCCTCCTTAATGAGGAATTAATTGGGAAAGATCCGATTGCATTTCCTCATTAATATTCAAATATATTCGGGGATATTTAAATTAACTCATGAATATGTGAATGATCATATGAATATTTAAATTAACCAGGGAATGTTTCCAGTTCTTCCCAACAAATAAATCTTGGAATTTTTCCCCTTAAAGGAGGAATTTGGAATGGAAAATCAACAATGGAGAAAAAATTAATTAATGATTAATTAATGATTAATTAATAACGGGAGGATTCACTTGGAAAATCCCAGGAAAAGTTGGGAATTCTGCTCCTCGATTTCCTCTGCATTCCCAAAAAAATTCCAGCTCAGAAATCTCAGTCTTTGTATCCTGAATGTTCCAGATGGGAACAATTTGGGAATAATTCCCGTGGGAAAAGTGGAATTTTTCAGGAATTTTCCTGGCTTTGATTCTGGGAATTCTCAGTCCTAGATAATCCGGGAATGACCCGGGGTGGGAAAATCGGGATAAATCCTGGTGGGAACCCTGGGAATTTCAGGGAATTCCCAGCCTGGGAATGACTCCTGGGAAGTTTGGGAAAATCGGGATAAATCTTGCTGGGAATCTCAGGAATTTCATGGAATTCCCTGCTCGGGAATGATTCCCAGGAAGTTGGGGAAAACCAGGATAAATCCCGGTGGGAATCCCGGGAATCAAAGGGGGATCCCAGGGCAGGGAATCCCGGGAATTTCAGGGAATTCCCAGCTCAGGAATAACTCCCGGGAAATTCGGGAATCCTGGGAATTTAAGGGAATTCCCAGCCTGGAAATGACTCCCAGGAAATTTGGGAAAATCGGGATAAATCCTGCTGGGAATCCCGGGAATCAAAGTTTGGGAAAGGCAGGATTAATCCTACTGGGAATCCCAGGAATTTCATGGAATTCCCAGCCCGGGAATGATTCCCAGGAAATTTGGGAAAAGCAGGATAAATTTGCTGGGAATCCTGGGAATCAAAGTTTGGGAAAATCGGGATAAATCCTCCTGGGAATCCCGGGAATTTCATGGAATTCCCAGCTCGGGAATGATTCCCAGGAAGTTCGGGAAAACCAGGATAAATCCCGGTGGGAATCCCGGGAATCAAAGGGGGATCCCAGGGCAGGGAATCCCGGGAATTTCAGGGAATTCCCAGCCCGGGAATGACTCCCGGGAAATTCGGGAATGCCGGGATAAATCCGGGCGGGGGCGGGGGCGGGGAGGTCCCGCGGGGAGCGGAGCCAGCCCGGGATTCCCGGCGGGAATTCCCGATCCCCGACCGGCATTCCAAGGGTTAAGCGCTGCCATTTTGTTCCCGGAGATTTCTCGGGAATGGCGCGGAAATGGCAGCGCTTAACCCTTGGAATGCCGGCTCGGGAATTCCAGCGGGAGCCGGGGATTCCCCTCCCCCCTCTCTTTTCCCGGGAATTCCCAATCCCAAAATCCCGGGAAAAGCGGGAGCGGGGCTTTTCCACCTGTTGGGATCCCGAATTTTTTGGGGGTGGAAAATTTGGGATTGGAGCTGAATTCCCAAAGGAAAGTTTGGGAATTTCCACATCCAAGGATTGGAGTCGTTCAGCTCGGAATTCCCATGGATTTTCCTGGGAAATCTCAGAAAAATATTCCCAGAAAAAGGAATTTCCCAGGAATTTTCGGATGGGGTATCCAGGAATTCCTCCTGGGAATCCTCAGGAGCAGCAAATCCATGGAAAAACATTTGGAAATGTTGGAATCCCACTTTTCCATCTCTGGGAATTTTCTGTTCCTGAAATTTTGGTTGTTGGAATTTTTGGCTCCCAAAATTCCCGGAGCTGGGTGGGAAAAACTCGGGGAGGAATTCCAGGATATGGGAAAAGATGGAATTTTTCAGCCCAAGTTTCTCCTTTTCCTTTGGAATTTTATTGGAATTTTCATCAGGATTTTATTTGGGAATTTCCCTCCAAACCCAACCCCATTCCCATTCCTGGAAAATCCTTCAAATCCTCTTTTTCCAAAGCTTTTCCTGGGATTTTGGAGGAATTTTTTTCCCGTTTTTTCTCCCTTTTCCTGTCCTGGGCTGGAATTCTCCTGGGAGAGGAAAAACTCCGGGAATTCCCTTTTCCAGGGATTTTCCATCCATTTCCCAACTCTTTTCCATTCCCTTTTCTAACTCTTTTCCAGAGTTTTCCCCTCCCTTTTCCAGGGATTTTCCAGCCCCTTTCCCAAACATTTTCCATCTTTTTTTCAGCCCCTTTTCCAGGGTTTTCCCATGGTTTTCCCCTCCCTTTTCCAGGGTTTTCCTCTCCCTTTTCCAGGGTTTTTCCAGCCCCTTTTCCAGGATTTCCCCCTCCCTTTTCCAGGGATTTTTCCCTCCCTTTTCCAGAGTTTTTTTCCTCCCTTTTCCAAGGATTTTCCAGCCCCTTTTCCAGGGTTTTTTCCCCTCCCTTTTCCAAGGTTTTTCCAAGGTTTTTCCCTTCCTTTTCCAGGGTTTTTCCAACCCATTTTCCAGGATTTTTTCCCTCCATTTTCCAAGGTTTTTCCAGGGTTTTCCCCTCCCTTTTCCAGGGATTTTCCATCCCCTTTTCCAAGGTTTTTCCAGGGTTTTTCCCCTCCCTTTTCCAGGGATTTTCCCTCCCTTTCCCAGCCCTTCCTGAGTCGCTCTTCCCAGACTTTTTCCTGCTTGGAAATGCAGGAATTCCATCCCCAAATCCCGGGATTTTTAACCCCTTCGTGTCTCCCTTTTCCCGGGATTTTCCAGCCCCTTTCCCAGTATTTTTCCCTCCCTGTTCTCTCCCCATTCCCGGGATCTTTTCCCGGGAATTTTTACTTTTCCCGGGAATTTTTTCCCCCCCCCTTTTCCCGGGATTTTTTTCCCCCCTTTTCCCGGGATTTCCCCCCCTCCTTTCCCAGGATTTTTTAACCCTTTGATGTCTCCCTTTCCCAGGATATTTCCCCCCTTTCTCCATGATTTTTCCTGCCATTCCCAACGTTTTTAACCTTTTCCCAGGATATTTTCCCGGTATTTTTAACCCTTTCCCGGGATATTCCCCCCCCATCCCCGGTTTATTTTCTCCCATGACTTTTTCCTCCATTCCCGCTATTTTTAACCCTTTCTTGGGATTTTTTCCCCCCGGTGTTTTTAACCCTTTCCCGGCCGTTCCCGGTGTTTTTAACCCTTTCCCGGTATTTTTTTCCCCCTGCTGTTCCTGCTGTTTTTAACCCTTTCCCGGGATATTTTCCCCCCCACCATTCCCGGTGTTTTTAACCCTTTCCCGGGATGATTTTTTCCTCCATTCCCGGTGTTTTTAACCCTTTCCCAGGATATTCCCCCCCCTCCATTCCTGGTGTTTTTTACCCCACGCTGTTCCCGATGTTTTTAACCCTTTCCCGGGATATTTTCCCCGCGATTTTTCCCTCAATTCCTGCTGTTTTTAACCCTTTCCCAGGGTATTTTCCCCTCTCCATTCCTGGTGTTTTTTACCCTTGCTCAGTTCTGTTTTCCAGCTGTTTTTAACCCTTTCCCAGGGTATTTTTCCTCCTCCATTCCCACTGTTTTTATCCCTTTCCTGGTTCATTTCCCCGCTGTTTTTAACCCTTTCCCGGGATATTTTCCCCGCGATTTTTCCCTCAATTCCCGCTGTTTTTAGCCCTTTCCCAGGGTGGTTTTCCCCCCCTCCATTCCCGCTGTTTTTAACCCTTTCCCGGTCCATTTCCCCGCTGTTTTTAACCCTTTGGTGGCCTCCCGCAGCCCCTCACCATGAGTGAGGACTCATGCCGCACCCGCAGCCAGAAGCGCGCCCTGGAGCGGGACTCGGAGCCCGACAGTAAAAAACTCAGGATGGACAAAGGAATTCTGGGATCCGAGCTCGGCTCCGAGGGGGACATGAAGATCAAAGCGGATCCCGGAGCCGGGAAAATGCCGGGAATGCTGAAAAGTGGGGAAGTCAAAGCCACCATCAAAGTGGAGCTGCCGGCAGCAGGGGACGAGCCCGTGGACATGAGCACATCCAAAGGGTGAGGATTCCTTGGAATTCCGGGAATTCTTGGCCTTGGCGAAGGGTTTGGATCCCTTCTCATCCCGGTTTTTATTGGGAGGAGGCTCGGGGTGGAGTTGGAGTTGAGTTTTTTTGGTGCCACATTCCCGGTTTTTCCTTTGGGATGGTGGAAAAGTTGGGCAGAGAATCCCGGGAATGCTGTGGAAGCTCATCCCGTTCCAGGGGCAGTTCTGATCCAAACCCCATCCCAGCCCCATTTCCTTGGAGCTGCCAATGGAATCCCTGGAATTCCAGCAGGAAAAGGAGTTTGGGACTTGGGAAGTTCTCATTCCCAAGCCAGTCAATCCCAGTTTTCCAGCTCCAGGGAATATTTGGGAATTCTCCACCTGTGCCACTTCCAGAGGGAAATGCCTGGATTTGGGGATTCCCTGGATTTGGGGATTCCCTGGGTTTTGGGTTTCCTTGGATTTGGGTATTTCCTGGATTTGGGAATTCCTTGGATTTGGGGTTTCCCTGGATTTAGGGATTCCCTGGATTTGGGGTTTCCCTGGATTTGGGGATTCCCTGGGTTTGGGGTTTCCTTGGATTTGGGAATTCCTTGGATTTGGAGTTTCCCTGGATTTGGAGTTTCCCTGCATTTGGGAATTCCTTGGATTTGGGGTTTCCCTGGATTTGGGGTTTCCCTGGATTTGGGGTTTTCCAGGCTCACTGTGCCCTCTAGAGGGCATTCCCAACCCTTTGGAATTTTCCCATTCCTGAAATTCCCACCTTGGGCCCTTTTCCCAGCCGTGGAATTCCCTGGGGGGCTGGAAAAGCCTTGGAAAACAAACTGGAAAAGGGTCTGGAAAAGGGCTGGAAAAGTGGATGGAAAAAGGGCAGGAAAAGGGTTGGGAAAACTGTTGGAAAGGCTGCTCCCAGAGTGACCATTTCCCAGGATTTGCTCTCCATTTTCCCAGGAATTGCTCCCCATTTTCCCAGTTTGCTGCCCTTGTCCTGACCCTATTTCCCTGGGATTTGCTCCCCGTTTTCCCGGGAATGCTGCCCTTGCACAGACCCCATTTTCCCAGGATTTTCTCCCCATTTTCCCAGGATTTTCTTCCCGTTTTCCTGGGATTTTCTCCCTGTTTTCCCAGGATTTGCTCCCCATTTTCCCAGGATTTTCCCAGGATTTTCTCCCCATGCTGCCCTTGTCCTGACCCTATTTCCCTGGGATTTGCTCCCCGTTTTCCTGGGATTTTCTCCCTGTTTTCCCAGGATTTGCTCCCCATTTTCCCAGGATTTTCTCCCCATTTTCCCAGGATTTTCTCCCCGTTATTCCAGCTTCCTCCCCCTGCCCTGACCCCTTTTTCCTGGGATTTTCTCCCCATTTTCCTGGGTTTCCTTCCCCTGCCCTGACCCTCTTTTCCCGGGATTTTCTCCCCGTTTTCCCGGGATTTTCTCCCCGTTCTCCCGGCTTTTCTCCCTGTTTTCCTGGGATTTTCTCCCCATTTTCCCTGGTTTTTCTCCCCGTTCTCCCAGGATTTTCTCCCATTTTCCCGGGATTTTCTCCCTGTTTTCCCGGGATTTTCTCCCCATTTTCCTGGGTTTTTCTCCCCATTTTCCCGAGTTTTTCTCCCTGTTCTCCCGGCTTTTCTCCCCATTTTCCCGGGATTTTCTCCCCGTTCTCCCGGGATTTTCTCCCGGTTTTCCCGGGTTTCCTTCCCCTGCCCTGACCCTCTTTTCCTGGGATTTTCTCCCCGTTCTCCCGGCTTTTCTCCCCGTTTTCCCGTGATTCCTCGCCGTGCCCTGCCCCATTCCCGGCCTTGTCCCTCCGTTCCCCAGGGAGTGCCGGCGGGAGCGGCGCGTTCCCTCCCCGGACGTGATCGTGCTGTCGGACAACGAGCCCTCGAGCCCCCGCGTCAACGGGCTGGGGCTGGCCCGGCTCGCCCTGCCCGAGCCCGGCGCCGAGGGGCTGCTGGTGAGTGCTGGGATGGACTGGGACTGGTCAGGGGTAACTGGGATTGGGTCAGGGTTAACTGGGATTGGGTTGGAATAACCCAGGATTGGCCCGGCTCGCCCTGCGCGAGCCCGGCGCCGAGGGGCTGCTGGTGAGTGCTGGGATGGACTGGGACTGGGCAGGGGTAACTGGGATTGGGTCAGGGGTAACTGGGATTGGGTCAGGGTTAACTGGGATTGGGTTAGGATAAACTGGGATTGGGTTGGAATAACCCGGGATTGGCCCGGCTCGCCCTGCCCGAGCCCGGCGCCGAGGGGCTGCTGGTGAGTGCTGGGATGGACTGGGACTGGGCAGGGGTAACTGGGATTGGGTCAGGGGTAATTGGGATGGACTGGGGCTGGTCAGGGTTAACTGGGATTGAGTCAGGATGGGATGGACTGGGACTGGTCAGGGGTAACTGGGATTGGGTCAGGGTTAACTGGGATTGGGTCAGGGGTAACTGGGATGGACTGGGACTGGTCAGGGTTAACTGGGATGGACTGGGACTGGTCAGGGGTAACTGGGATTGAGTCAGGATGAACCAGGATTGGGTCAGGGTTAAAGGGTTAACTGGGATGGACTGGGACTGGTCAGGGTTAACTGGGATGGACTGGGACTGGTCAGGGGTAACTGGGATTGAGTCAGGATGAACCAGGATTGGGTCAGGGTTAACTGGGATTGGGTTGGAATAACCTGGGATTTTCCTGGGATTTTCTTGGGTTTTTTCTGGGATTTTCCCGGGCTTTCCCTGGGATTTTCCCGGGCTTTCCCTGGGCTTTTCCTGGGCTTTCCCTGCGCTTTCCCTGCACTTTCCCTGGGCTTTCCCTGGGCTTTCCCTGGGCTTTTCCTGGGCTTTTCCTGGGCTTTCCCTGGGATTTCCTGGGCTTTCCCTGGGCTTTCCCGTTCCCTGGGCTTTCCCGGGATTTCCCTGGGCTTTCCCTGGGCTTTCCCGGGCTTTCCCTGGGCTTTCCCTGGGATTTCCTGGGCTTTCTCTGGGCTTTCCCTGGGATTTCCTGGGGTTTCCCCGGGCTTTCCCTGGGATTTCCTGGGTTTTCCCTGGGATCTCCCGGCACTTCCTGGCGTTGCAGCGGAGCCCGGAGCAGCGGGAGCGCCTGATCAAGCAGCTGCAGGAGGAGCTGAGGCTGGAGGAGGCCAAGCTGGTGCTGCTCAAGAAGCTCCGGCAGAGCCAGAGCCAGAAGGAGACGCAGGCGCCCAAGGTAGGAAAATCCCCTTTTTCCAGGAATTCCCAGCTCTTTTCTAGGGAAAATCCTGATTTGCCAGGAATTCCCAAGGATTTTTCTGCCCTTTCCCAACATTTTTCCCACCAATTCCCAAGGATTATCCTGTGAATTCCGAAGGAATTTTCCTGCCAATTCTCAAGGATTTTCCCACCAATTCCGAAGGATTTTCCTGGGAATTCCCAAGGATTTTCCTGCTAATTCCCACTGATTATGCCACTAATTCCCAAGGATTTTCCTGTGAATTCCCAGAGATTTTCCAGGAATTCACAAGGATTTTTCTGCTAATTCCCACTGATTATTCCACTAATTCCCAAGGATTTTCCTGTGAATTCTCAAGGATTTTCCCGCCAATCCCAAAGATTTCTCTGCAAATTCCCACTGATTTTCCTGTCAATTCCCAAGGATTTTCTCACCAATTCCCAAGGATTTTTCCCTCCAATTCCCAAGGATTTTCCCCTAAATCCCTGAGGATTTTCCTGCCAATCCCAAGGATTCTCCTGTGAATTCCCAAGGATTTTCCCTCCAATTCCCATGGATTTTCCCTCCAATTCCCATGGATCCTCCTGTGAATTCCCAAGGATTCTCCTGTGAATTCCCAAGGATTTCCCCACCAATCCCAAGGATTTTCCCTCTGCAATTCCCGCCGGCTGACCCCGGACTCTCGGCGTGCGCTCCCGCTCTCTCCATTCCCGCTTTCCCACTTTTCCCGCTGCTCTCTTTCCACTTTTTCCTTTTCCAGCTTTCCTCGGGCCCCTCTGGAAGCGCTGCGGCCACGCCCCCGCCCTTGGTGCGGGGCCCTCAGGCTGTTCCCGCTGGGAAAACTTCCCTCCAGGTCAGTGGGAGCCGGGAAAAACCGGGAAAAAAGCCCGGGAAAAGCCGGGAAATCCCGGGAAAAGCTGCCAGCATTGCCCTGCTCCCACGGGTGTAGGGATAACGGGATGGGGAAAGGTGGGGTGGGAGTGCTGAGCCAGGAATTCCTGTGGAAAACAGGGAATTCGCTCTGGGACTGCTCAGGAATCCTGGGATTTTCTGGGAGGGAATCCCGGGATTCTCTCTGGAATTGCTGAGGGAATTCCAGGATTTTCTGGGAGGAAATCCCGGGATTCTTTCTGGAATTGCTGAAGGAATGTCAGGATTCTCTCTGGAATTGCTGAGGAGATCCTGGGATTTTCTGTGAGGGATTCTCTCTGGAATTGCTGAGGGCATTCCAGGATTTTTTGGGAGGGAATCCGGGGATTCTCTCTGGAATTGCTGAGGGAATTCCAGGATTTTCTGGGAGGGAATCCTGGGATTCTCTCTGGAATTGCTGAAGGAATTCCAGGATTCTCTCTGGAATTGCTGAGGAGATCCTGGGATTTTCTGTGAGGGATTCTCTCTGGAATTGCTGAGGGCATTCCAGGATTTTCTGGGAGGGAATCCTGGGGATTCTCTCTGGAATTGCTGAAGGAATTCCAGGATTCTCTCTGGAATTGCTGAGGAAATTCCAGGATTTTCTCTGGAATTGCTGAGGGGATCCTGGGATTTTCTGTGAGGGAATCTCTCTGGAATTGCTGAGGGAATCCTGGGATTTTCCTTGAAGGAATCCTGGGATTCTCTCTGGAATTGCTGAAGGAATGCCAGGATTTTCTCTGGAATTGCTGAAGGGATGCTGGGATTTTCTGTGAGGGAATCTCTCTGGAATTGCTGAGGGAATCCTGGGATTTTCCTTGAAGGAATCCTGGGATTCTCTCTGGAATTGCTGAGGGAATCCCAGGATTTTCTAGGAGGGAATCCCAGGATTTTCTGTGAGGGAATCCCAAGATTTTCTGTGAGGGAATCCCAGGATTCTCTCTGGAATTGCTGAGGGAATTCCAGGAGTTTCTGTGAGGGAATCCCAGGACTTTCTGTGAGGGAATCCCAGGATTCAGGCTTGGAATGATCCAATTCCAGGCTGAAATAAATCTGGGAATCCTCAGGGAAGGAGATTCCCAGAATCCCAGAATGGACAGCTGTCAATCACCCCAGGAATCCTTTGGGATTAGAACATTCCTGCATTTTTTTTTTCCTGGGATAAATTCCCAAACTGCTCCAGCATAAGGGATTTTCCTTGGACAAGGGTTTGGAAAACCCCAGAATTCCAGGAAAGGGAGGGATTTGCTCTCCTTTAGGAGCCATTCCCAAATCCAGATGTGTGGGAATCTTTACCTTTAGAATCACTTCCAGAGGAACTGGAAAACCTTCAGGGAATTTTGGACTTAATCCCAAAAATCCTGTTTGTCCTAACAATTCCTCTGGAATTTTGGGTGAATTAACCTGGATTTGGGTTTTCCAGAGGGAGGAGCTGAGGGATTCCCTGGGAATGGGATAGAATTCCCAACTTCCCAAATCCTGGGGAAGGGGGAGATCCCTGATTCCAGGGGCTGGGAAAGGGGAAATGCCAGGATTGGGATGCAGAGGAAAATTTGGAATTTTGGGAATATCCCAGCCCAGCACCAGGAGGGAATTTGAGGATTGGAATCCCGGGAATCCTCAGGCAGCAGCTTTTCCAAACTCCTCTCTCCTCATTCCTCTTCCTCCTCCATGATTTTTCCAGAACTTTTTCTCCCCTTTTCTTTTCCTGCTTTTCCTTTCCCTTTTCCAGGATTTTTTTCCCAGATCTTTTCCTTTCTTTTTCCTTTTCCTTTGCCGTGATTTCTTCTGGAGCTTTTCCTTCCTCCTGATTTCTCTCCCAGGATTTTTCCCAATGTTTTTCTTCTCTCCTCTCTTTTTCCCTGTTTTTCCTTTTCCTCCACAGATCCCAACACTTCCATTCCCCATTCCCACAATTCCCAACACTTTTTTTTCCCCATTTCCCCCATCTTTATCCCATTTCCAGCTTTCCCAACCATTTTCTCCCCCTTTCCCCCCCATTTTTACCCTTTTCCCAGCTTTCCCAACTCCTTTTCCCTCCATTTTTATCCCATTCCCACAAATCCCAACATTTCCATTCCCCATTATCACAATTGCCAACACTTTTCCCCCCGTTTTTACCCCATTCCAGCTTTCCCATCCCATTTCCCTGCTATTTTTACCATTTCCCCCTTCCCATTTTCCCCATTTCCCCCCCATTTCCCCCCTCCCCGTGCCATTCTGACTCTTTTCCCATTTTCCAGCCCTCCTCCAGCTGCATTCCAGGCACCAGGATCCCACCATTCCCACCTTTCCCATCCCTTTTTTCCCCCATTCCCACCTTTCCCATCCCTTTTTCCCCCATTTTCCCCCCATTCCCACCTTTCCCATCCCTTTTTCCCCCATTTTCCCCCCATTCGCATTCCGGGCACTGGGATCCCTCCCCCGCTGCTCCGGGGGGGCCAAGCGGCCGCCTCCAAGCAGAGCCCCCAGATCGTGATGCCCCCCCTGGTCCGAGGGGCCCAGGTGAGCTTCTCCTGCTTTTCCCCTTCCCATTCCATGGAAAAAAAATTGGGATTTTTCTCCTCTGGTTGGTTTGAGCATCCCGTGGTGTGTGTTCCCATAAAAACGGGATTTTTGGGGTTAATTTGGTTTTCCCCTCCCGTTTTTACCATTTCCCCCATTTTTATCCCATTCCCAGCTTTCCCAACCTGTTTTTTGGGTTTTTTTTGGAAGAAAGGGTGGGAGGCAATTCCTGCTTTTCCATGGTTTTCCCTCTAGTTATCCTTTCTATCCCACTCAGAAATTTGGGAGTTTGGGGCTGGAAGGAAAGGGAAAAACATCCTGGTTGTTATTCCATGCTTTCCTTGCCTTTGTGCCTTTTGATTCCCACTTTTCTGTGTTTTCCCAATGCCTTTTCCCTGGATTCCCAACCCCCTTTTCCGTGTTTTCCCAAGAAATCCACTCAAAAACTTGGGAATCTGGGGTTGGAATGCTCAGAGGGTCTCTTGTCCCGTGGTTTGGAGGGAAAGGGAAAAACATCCTGGTTGTTATTCCATGCTTTCCTTGCCTTTGTGCCTTTTGATCCCCACTTTTCCATGGATTCCCGACCTCCTTTTCTGTGTTTTCCCAACCCCCTTTTCCATGGATTCCCAACCCCTTTTTCCATTGAATCCCAACCCCTTTTTCCATTGAATCCCAACCCCTTTTTCTGTGTTTTCCCACCCCCTTTTCCGCGTTTTCCCTCCCCCTTTTCTGTGTTTTCCCAACCCCTTTTCCACATTTCCCCAACCCCTTTCCCACAATTCCCAACCCCTTTTCCACGTTTTCCCAACCCCTTTTCCACATTTCCCCAACCCCTTTCCCACGTTTTCCCACCCCTTTTCCACGTTTCCCCACCTCCTTTCCCACTTTTCCCAACCCCTTTTCCACGTTTTCCCACCCCCTTTTCCACATTTTCCCGACCCCTTTCCCACATTTCCCAACCCCTTTTCCACATTTCCCACCCCCTTTTCCACATTTTCCCCACCCTTTTCCACGTTTTCCCAACCCCTTTTTCTGTGTTTTCCCAACCCCCTTTTCCACATTTCCCCACCCCCTTTTCCACGTTTTCCCAACCCCTTTTCCACATTTTCCCAACCCCTTTTCCCCATTTCCCCAACCCCTTTCCCACATTTCCCCAACCCCTTTTCCACATTTTCCTAACCCTTTTTCTGTGTTTTCCCAACCCCCTTTCCCACATTTCCCCACCCCCTTTTCCACGTTTTCCCACCCCCTTTTCCATGTTTTCCCAGCAAATCCACACCATCCGGCAGCACTCGAGCACGGGCCCGCCCCCGCTGCTGCTGGCGCCGCGCGCCTCGGTGCCCTCGGTGCAGATCCAGGGCCAGCGCATCATCCAGCAGGGCCTGATCCGCGTGGCCAACGTGCCCAACGCCAGCCTGCTGGTCAACATCCCCCAGGTGAGCTTCCTGTGGGAATTCCCGCTGGGAATTGCCTGGGAATGGCCAATGGTCAACATCCCCCAGGTGAGCCTTCCTGCTGGGAATTCCCCCTGGGAATGGTGGGAATGGCCAATGGTCAACATCCCCCAGCTGAGCTTCCCGCGGGAATTCCCGCTGGGAATGGGCTGGGAATGGTGGGAATGAGCAACAATAGCATCCCCCAGGTGAGCGTTCCTGTGGGAATTCCTACTGGGAATGGGCTGGGAAGGGTGGGAATGAGCAACATCAACATCTCCCAGGTGAGTGTTCCCACCGGGAATTCCCACTGGGAGTGGGGTGGGAATGGTGGGAATGGCCAATGGTCAACATCCCATCCTGCAGGTGAGCATTGAGCATTCCCAGAATTCCTGGGAATTCCCATTGGGAATGGGCTGGGAATGATGGGAATGAGCAACAGTAACATCCCCCAGGTGAGCATTCCCGCTGGGAATGGGCTGGGAATGGTGGGAATGGCCAATGCCAGTCTGCTGGTCAACATTCCCCAGGCTGGCACTGCCCCAGTGGGGACTCCCCTGATTCCCAGTGCTCCCAGTGCTCCCAGTGACCCCATTCCTCTCTCCCCAGGCGTCCCCCACATCGCTGAAGGGCTCGGCGGTGCCCGCGGGCCAGGCTGGCACTGTCCTGGCAGGCGGCACAGCACTGGGTGGCACCGGGGACTCCCTGATTCCCAATGATCCCATTCCCTGATTCCCAGTGATCCCATGGATCCCATTCCCTGATTCCCAGTGAATGGGAATGATCCAATGATCTCATGGATCCCATTGCTCTCTCCCCAGGCGTTCCCCACATCGCTGAAGGGCTCAGCGGTGCCCGCGGGCCAGGCTGGCACTGGCCTGGCCGGTGGCACTGGGGACTCCCTGATTCCCAGTGCTCACAGTGCTCCCAGTGACCCCATTGCTCTCTCCCCAGGCGTCCCCCACGTTGCTGAAGGGCTCAGCGGTGCCTGCTGGCCAGGCTGGCACTGGCCTGGCCGGTGGCACTGGGGACTCCCTGATTCCCAATGATCCCATTCCCTGATTCCCTGTGATCCCATGGATCCCGTTCTAGTCTCTCCACAGACGTCCCCCACATCACTGAATGGCTCGGCGGTGCCCGCGGGCCAGGCTGGCACTGCCCTGGCCGGTGGCACGGCGCTGGGTGGCACTGGGGCTCCCCCTGATACCCAAGGATCCCATTTCCTGATTCCCAGTGCTCCCAGTGACCCCATTGCTCGGGCGCGGCCCCGGCGGGTGGCACGGCGCTGGGGGGCACGGGCGAGGCCCCGGGCAGCCGGCAGGCCGCGGCCAAGCTGGCGCTGCGCAAGCAGCTGGAGAAGACCCTGCTGGAGATCCCCCCGCCCAAACCGCCCGCGCCCGAGATGAACTTCCTGCCCAGCGCCGCCAACAACGAGTTCATCTACCTGGTGGGGCTGGAGGAGGTGGTGCAGAACCTGCTGGAGAGCCAAGGTGAGCCCGGGAGGGGCAGAGCCCGGCTTAAACCCGGCTGGGATCGGTTAAACCCGGCTGGGATCGGTTAAACCTGGCTGGGATTGGTTAAACCTGACAGGGATCACTTAAACCCGGCTGGGATCAGTTAAACCTGGCTGGGATCATTTAAACCTGGCTGGGATCGGTTAAACCTGACAGGGATCAGTTAAACCTGGCCAGAATCAATTAAACCTGACAGGGATCAGTTAAACCCGGCTGGGATCAGTTAAACCTGGCTGGGATCAGTCAAACCCGGCTGGGATCAGTTAAACCTGGCTGGCATCGGGCAAACCTGGCTGGGATCAGTTAAACCTGGCTGGGATCATTTAAACCTGGCTGGGATCGGTTAAACCTGGCTGGGATCGGTTAAACCTGACAGGGATCAGTTAAACCTGGCCAGAATCAATTAAACCTGACAGGGATCAGTTAAACCCGGCTGGGATCAGTTAAACCTGGCTGGGATCATTTAAACCTGGCTGGGATCAGTTAAACCTGGCTGGCATCGGTCAAACCTGGCTGGGATCAGTTAAACCTTGTTGGGATCATTTAAACCTGGCTGGGATTGGTTAAACCTGGCTGGGATCCGTTAAACCTGGCTGGGATCGGTTAAACCTGGCTGGGATCAGTTAAACCTGGCTGGGATCATTTAAACCTGGCTGGGATTGGTTAAACCTGGCTGGGATCCGTTAAACCTGACAGGGATCACTTAAACCTGGCCAGAATCAGTTAAACCTGACAGGGATCAGTTAAACCTGGCCAGAATCAATTAAACCTGACAGGGATCAGTTAAACCCGGCTGGGATCACTTAAACCTTGTTGGGATCAGTTAAACATGGCTGGGATCAGTTAAACCTCCAGAAATGCAGGGTTTAAACGTGACAGGAATCATTTAAACCCCACAGAAATAATTTAAACCTCACTGAAACCGCACTGGGGCTGACCCGCCATGTTTGTCCCTCATGGAGGGCCATGCTGGGGCTGACCCACCATGTTTGTCCTTCTGGGGAAGGTGGTGGAGGCCAATCCCAGGTGTTTGTCCCTCAGGGAAGGTGGCAGCAAGGCTGACCTGCCATGTTTGTCCCCCAGGGAAGGTGACCTTGGGGGACCAACTCACCATGTTTGTCCCTCATGGAGGGCCTTGCTGGGGCTGACCCGCCATGTTTGTCCCTCAGGGAAGGTGGTGGTGGCCAATCCCAGCTGTTTGTCCCTCAGGGAAGGTGGCAGCAAGGCTGACCTGCCATGTTTGTCCCCCAGGGAAGGTGACCTTGGGGGACCAACTCACCATGTTTGTCCCTCATGGAGGGCCTTGCCGGGGCTGACCCGCCATGTTTGTCCCTCAGGGAAGGTGGTGGAGGCCAATCCCAGGTGTTTGTCCTCAGGGAAGGTGACCCTGGGGCTGACCTGCCATGTTTGTCCCTCAGGGAAGGTGGCGGTGGCCGTGTCCTGCCGGGAGCCCTACCTGTGTGCCCAGTGCCACACGGACTTCACGTGCCGCTGGCGGGAGGAGAAGAACGGCACCATCATGTGCGAGACCTGCATGGCCTCCAACCAGAAGAAGGCCCTGAAGGCCGAGCACACGAACCGGCTCAAGGCCGCCTTCGTCAAGGCCCTGCAGCAGGAGCAGGAGATCGAGCAGAGGATCCTGCAGCAAACGGCCCCGCCCGGGCAGCCCAAGGCCGAGCCCGTGGGGCAGCACCACGCGCTCAAGCAGGTGAGGGACCGCCCCAAATCCACCTTTTCCACAGGGAAAAGTGACCCAGGGTTGGGTTGTGGCCTGCGGGGTTTGGGCCTCGGGTTGGGTTTAGGGTGGGTGGGTTGTGGGTGGTGTAGCAGGATCTGAAGATCGTCCAGTCCTGGAGATCTGCCAGGCCCAGAGAGCATCCAGTCCCAAGAATCATCCAATCCTAAAAAACCTCCAATCCCAGAGAGCATCCAGTCCCAGCAATCATCCAGTCCCAAGAATCATCCAATCCTAAAAAACCCCGTGGGGCAGCACCACGCGCTCAAGCAGGTGAGGGACCGCCCCAAATCCACCTTTTCCACAGGGAAAAGTGACCCAGGGTTGGGTTGTGGCCTGCGGGGTTTGGGCCTCGGGTTGGGTTTAGGGTGGGTGGGTTGTGGGTGGTGTAGCAGGATCTGAAGATCGTCCAGTCCTGGAGATCTGCCAGGCCCAGAGAGCATCCAGGCCCAAGGATCATCCAGTCCTAAAAATCATCCAATCCCAGAGAGCATCCAGTCCCAAGAATCATCCAATCCTAAAAAACATCCAATCCCAAAAATTATCCAATTCCAACAATCATCCAATCCCAAAGATCATCCAGGCCCAACAATCATCCAGTCCCAAAGATCATCCAATCCCAGAGCGCATCCAGGCCTAGAGATTATCCAATTCCAACAATCATCCAATTCCAAAGATCATCCAGTCCCAAAGATCATCCAATCCCAAAGATCATCCAATCCCAAAGATCATCCAGGCCCAACAATCATCCAGGCCCAACAATCATCCAGTCCCAACAATCATCCAGTTCCAAAGATCATCCAATCCCAAAGATCATCCAATCCCAAAGATCATCCAAGCCCAAAGATCATCCAGGCCCAACAATCATCCAGTCCCAACAATCATCCAGTTCCAAAGATCATCCAATCCCAGAGAGAATCTAGGCCTAGAGATTATCCAATCCCAATAATCATCCAATTCCAAAGATCATCCAGTCCCAAAGATCATCCAGTCCCAAAGATCATCCAATCCCAGAGATCATCCAAACCCAAAGATCATCCAGTCCCAAAGATCATCCAGTCCCAAAGATCATCCAATCCCAAAGATCATCCAATCCCAAAGATCATCCAGGCCCAACAATCATCCAGGCCCAACAATCATCCAGTCCCAACAATCATCCAATCCCAGAGATCATCCAATCCCAAAGATCATCCAGGCCTAACAATCATCCAATCCCAGAGACCATCCAGTTCAGCAAGATCCCAGATTTCCTTTTTGCTCCTCGCAGAGCTCCGGCCAGATGTCCCGGGGCGCTTCCCGAGGGGTCCTGCACTCCTTCAGCTCCTCGCCCAAGCTGCAGAGCTCCTCGGCCAGCGCCGCGCTGGGCAGCCGGCCCGGCAAGCACGCCGAGAGATCCGGCAGCAAGGGCGGCGCCGCCTGGAAGAAAAACCCCATCAGCACAGGTACGGCTCCTGGGCAGCTGGGGATCCCAGATCTCCTTGGGATCACAGCCCAGAATTCCCAGATTTTGGGTGGGAATTTTCGTGGGGTGATGCCAAAGGTTTAAAGTGAAAGTTGGTGTCGTCACCGCCCAAAATTCCCAGTTTTGGTTGGGAATTTTTGTGGAATGATGCCAAAGGTTTAAAGTGAAAGTTGGTGTTATCAGTGCCCAAAATTCCCAGATTTTGGGTGGGAATTTTCGTGGGGTGATGCCAAAGGTTTAAAGTGAAAGTTGGTGTCGTCACCGCCCAAAATTCCCAATTTTGGCTGGGGATTTTCGTGGGGTGGCGCGTTTCTCAGGATGAGTTTGGAACCGGGTCTTGCCAGGATAATCCATGCTTAAATCTGACTTTCCTATGCAATTTTTCATTATTTTCCCCTCATTCCCAAGCTATTCCATGACCCAAAATTCCCTTTTTCCAGGTCTTGCCAGGATAATCCATGTTTAAATCTTACTTTCCTATGCAATTTTTCATTTTTTCCCCCTCATTCCCAAGCTATTCCATGACCCAAAATTCCCTTTTTCCCACAGGTGGGGCCCTGCCCTTCGTCAGCCCCGCGCTGGCCGTGCACAAGTCGGCCTCGATAATCCATCCTCCATGGGTTTTTTCAATATTTTCCCTCATTCCCAAGCCATTCCATAATTCCAGAGGCCTCAAATCCTGATTTTTCATCCAAAACTTTGCATTTCTCAGGATGAGTTTGGAACCTGAAGGCACCGGGTCTTGCCAGGATAATCCATGTTCAAATCCTGTTTTCCTATGCAATTTTTCATTATTTTCCCCTCATTCCCGAGCTATTCCATGACCCAAAATTCCCTTTTTCCCACAGGTGGGGCCCTGCCCTTCGTCAGCCCCGCGCTGGCCGTGCACAAGTCGGCCTCGGCCGTGGAGCGGCAGCGCGAGTATCTCCTGGACATGATCCCGCCCCGCTCCATCCCACAGTCGGCCACGTGGAAATAATTCCCGAGGGAGAACTTTTCCAGGCTCTGCCATCCTTTTCTTTTCTACCACAATTCCGTGGAATCTGCTTTAATCCCAGCTGGATAACGCCCCGAGGCTTTCTAGGATGCAGCACCACCACTCCTCATCCGTCCCTGCCGGGAGAAGTGACCGCGTCGGGGTGGCCGAGGCCCGGCTCCGTTGGCTCCCAGATTTTTCATGGAAGCTGGCAGGGAAAGGGGGAAGAATTCCTTAATTTTTTTTTTTTTTTTTTTTTGGTTGGCTTTTTCCGTATTTAGTTTTGAAATTTTTTTGGCACCAGCACAAAAAAAAAAAAAAAAAAAAAAAAAACAACAAACCCAATGGGACTCAGCGACTCCTCTCTGCCTTCGCCGACGCCGAACTTTTTTTTTGCCGGGAACGCTCCGGAATTCCGGAATTTTGGGGCGTGGAGAGAGGAATTCCAGCCCCGTCCTGCGTTTAGTGAGCCGAGTTCATGGCTGCTCCTTTTCCCTGCTCCTCTTCCAGCCGGGAAAGCAGGTGGCACATCCCGAGATTCCCAAAATCCCAACGAAGAGGAAGAAGTGCAAATCCTCGGTTCCCGCTGAGTTTGGTTTGGATTTTTGCCCTTCGGGATCGGCTGCCGCCCAAACCTTGGCTGGGAGGTGGGAATTGCTGCGGGAAATTCCCACTTTTTCCCTTGGATTCTGGTTGGAATAGACTTCGGAACCGTTGGTAGTTTCCAAACCTTGCAGTTACTGAGAGACAAAATCCACCTTGGTTCTTTCTCATCCCGCGAATTTTGGGCCTTCCCGACGTTCCCAGAGACTCCAAAGCGAAACTTTTTGGGAATTTTTTTTCCTTTGGGAGGGTTGGTTGGGTTGTTTTGTTTTTGGTTTTTTTTATTTCCTTTTCTGTTGTTGTTTTGAGGGATATTATTCCAAAATGTATAGGAATTCCAGAAGCTGATGCAGGCAGGGAGGGTTGGGAGCCGTTCCCGATTCCCACCGGGAATTCCGGCCGTTCCCAATCCTTCCCTCCGTGATTCGAGTTCTTCCAGGCATCCCAAGCATGCTCCTGTATCCATTTGGGATGGAGTTTTCCATCATTTTTTTGGGAATTCCAGAGGTTCAACCCAAAATCCATCAGGGGCCAGTTTGGTTTCATTTTTGATTTCTCATCCTCTTTTTCCTTGGGCTTCTTCCCGAATTCCAGACGAATCCAAGGGGCAGAATTCCAGGCCTTATTCCAGTGAGGAGAATTCTTTGGGAAATGTGGGGAATTTTCTTGGGGAAATTATAAATATATATAATTTAGAGATCTATATATATTAAAAAAAAAAAAGAGTGTGTCGGGGGGAAATTCAGGAAAATCCGGATTTATTTTCTTAGGAATCGCTGAAGCCAAGAATTCCTTTGGGATCATCCCCCTCGGATCCGAGGGACAAAACCCCTTCCTTTTCCCACTTTTCCTGGTGTTTCCATATTTAGGGATTTAATTTAGAAAAAAAAAAACCCCAAAACCTTGTTTTCCAAACTGGGATTTGTTGGATAAAAACCCCCGGAATTCCCAGCCGGATGCGGATTTTGGGGTGATTTCCGTAGGGATGTGAAGAGCTCAGATGTGGGAATTGGGTTGGAATTTTGGAATTTGGAGTTTTCTTTTCATTCCAAGCTTGGATTGGGAAATGCCACCGGAGGGACGATGCGGAATTCCTTCAATTCCATTGGTTTTATGGAAAACTTGCCTTTCCTTTCCCACGTGGAATTTTTTGGGGTTGGTTCGGGGGGATTTTCCTCTCCTGGTTTTTTTCCTCATGGATGCCAACGTTTGGAAAAAGTTCATTTATTCCCCCCCAAAAAAAAAAACCCCACAACAAAATTCCTCCAATTAAAATCCTTTTTTTTTTTTTTTGGAGTTGGAGAAACCTGGTTTGTTTATTCCCAGAGTTTGGATAATTCCTGAAAAAAAAAAACAAAACAGGGAATGGAAGAGTCACAGAAGGATTCAATGGGATAAAAACAATGTCAAAACTTTCTGGATCCCAGCAGAATTCCCTTGGAAATTGGCATTTCAGCCTATTTTAGTTCATTAAAATAATCAGGAATGTTGGAATTGAAGGATTTGGAATAAAAATCCAAAGAAGTGTCTATGCCCACACTTCCAAATATTCCATCCCGATTTTTTTTTGGGTGGATAATTCAGGATAAATTCCAGAAAAAAATTATTTGGGGGATGGGGGGAGAGTTGTTTGGAAGGGGAGGGAAAATCCAGCATGGATTGAGGCTGGAAAACCAAAATATTTTATGGGGTGGGGCTGAAACTCCAAATTCCCACCTGGAATGAGGCTGAAAATCCAAAATATTTTATGGAATGGGACTGAAACTCCAAATTCCCACCTGGAATGTGGCTCCTGGGATCCAGCCTGGTTCTGATGTGGGTTTTTTTCTGGAATGTTCTTGGAATGCTGCCGGGAATTTGGAGGATTTGTTTTATTCCATCGACGTTTCTGCCAAATTTGGGGTCAATCTGGGAAAAGATTCCACGTTGGAATGCTGGGATGGTTTTTCCTTCACAGTCCCAGTTCCTGTGGGGGTTTTTTGGGATTGGGATGGTTCAGGTTTCAAAGTTGTTCCAACTCTTTAATACAGATTTTCCAAACCTCTTCCCAGTCTCCTTTTTCCAGGAAAAAGCCCCACAAAAAATGGGAAAAATGGGGGGGGAAAAAAACTCAATAAAACGGAAAATTCCCAATGTGGAATTCTGCCCTGGAAGGGAAATGTTTGGGAATGGTGGAGGAGGGGGGAATTTGGGAACAAATCCTGGCTTTATTCCTGCTGCTGGATCCCCTTTGGGATTTGGGATTCTCTGGTTGGATCCCCTTTGGCATTCCCAAATCCCTGAGGCCCTTGGATCCATTTTGGGATTCCCAAATCCCTGAGATCTTTGGCATTCCCAAATCCCTGAGGCTCTTGAATCCCTTTTAGGATTCCCAAATCCCTGAAGTCTCTTGGATCCCTTTTAGGATTCCCAAGTCCCTGAGGTCTCTTGGATCCCCTTTGGGATTCCTGAACCTCTTGGGGTTTTGGAATTCTGAGGTCTTTGGGATTCCCAAATCTTTGAGCCTTTGGAATTCCGGAATCCCTGAGGCCCCTGAATCCCCTTTGGCATTCCCAAATCCCAGAGATCTCTTTGATCCCCTTTGTCATTCCCAAATCCTTGAGGCTTTTGGAATCCTGAAATCCCAGAGATCTCTTGGATCCCCTTTGAGATTCCCAAATCCCAGAGATCTCCTGGATCCCCTTTGGGATTCCTGAACCCATTGGGGTTTTGGAATTCTGAGGTCTTTGGAATTCCCAAATCCTTGAGGCATTTGGCATTCCCAAATCCCAGAGATCTCTTGGATCCTCTTTGAGATTCCCAAATCCCAGAGATCTCCTGGATCCCCTTTGGGATTCCTGAACCCATTGGGGTTTTGGAATTCTGAGATCTTTGGAATTCCGGAATCCCAGAGATCTCTTGGATCCCCTTTGAGATTCCCAAATCCCAGAGATCTCCTGGATCCCCTTTGAGATTCCCAAATCCCAGAGATCTCCTGGATCCATGGGAACACCCCCCAGCCCTTCCATTCCCACGGATCCCTCGGGATCCTGGATCCCTTTTCCTGCTCTTCCCGAGCTTCGCTGCATGAGCTGCTCCGGGGGGCTCCGGATCCAGGGGGTCCCTAAAGCCATAAAAATTCCCGCTCGGAGCCGCCGGGATTTAGGGATTTTCTAGGGCACCGCGGAGAACGAGGAAGCGCCGTTGTAATTTAGATTTTAGCAACTTGTGAAATAAAAAGATCCCGGATTTTCATGGGAGAATTCCCGCGGTGGAACTGGGGGAGCCGTGTGGTTTTTCTTGGATTTCCTTCCCTTGGAATTTCACCGTGGAAAAGGAAAAAAAAGGAAAAAAACCCCCAAAAAACAGGTTGGAATTTTTTTTTCTATCCAAGGTTCTTCTTCCTCAGTGTTCCCAGCTTGGAAAAAAAGGTGAATTCCTGAATTTTTTTTTAAATATCCCAGGGATTCCTGCGCCTGCCGTTCCTGAGGAAAACAAAGGAAATCCAAAATTCCAGCGGATTCGGGATTGGGTTTTATCCTCATTTTGGGAATTCTTCCTGGGTTCTCCCAGCCAGTTATCCCTTTTTTGGGGGGAAGAATTTGGGAGGAATTGAATTCCCAGGGCTGAATCCCAGATGGAAAACTGGGAATTCAGGCTGCAGGAAGGGGTGAAATGGAGGAAATTTTGGGAGATTTCGGGGAAAACCCCAAATTTGGCTCTTTTTTCCCCTCCTTTGGGAAGGAAGGAGAGCAGGGTGGGATTTTTTTTTTCCCTTGGATTTGTTGGGACTCAAAAGATTCCAGAATAAATCCCAAAATTTAATAATTCTAACTAATCCTGCCAGTGGAAGGATCCAGAATCGCTAATTAATAATTAATTAATAATTAATTGGGCGGGGTTGGAAGTGGAATGACAATAAACAGAGAAACTCCTGGATCTGCCTCGTATTCCCGGGATTTTGGGGGTCGGGATGGATGTCATGGATCACCCAGGCAGAGCTGGATCTGCTCCTTCCTCTCCCGAGGATTATTCCGGAAAAAAAAAAAATCGGGAAAACAGGAGAAGGCAGCAAAAATCCGGGATTTTGGTGGATTTCCTGTGGAGTTTTGTGGATGGAGCATCTTCGGAGGCGCATCCCGACGGAACAAATCCATAAATCCAGAGCCTTCTCCCTTCCCACCTGGAATTCCTGCTGCAGCACCCTTGGATTCCACCTGAACATTCCAGGAGAACTCCCGGAGCCGTTGGATCGTTTCCCTCTGGAAGGAGAACGGGCCAAGGACATTCCCAGATGGATTTTTCTCATGATTCCAGAGAAAATCCGAATTCTCTGAGCTTGGGAAGAGCCACGGCCACGCGGGAATTCCTAAGTTCCTGTTGAATTGTCTCAAATTCCCATGGCATTATCCCAAATTCCCGTGGAATTATCCCAAATTCCCATGGAATTGTCCTGAATTCTTGTGGAATTATCCCAAATTCCCATGGCATTGTCCCAAATTCCCATGAAATTGTTCTGAATTCCCGTGGAATTATCCCAAATTCCCATGGAATTGTCCCAAATTCCCGTGAAATTGTTCTGAATTCCTGTGGAATTATCCCAAATTCCCATGGAATTGTCCTGAATTCCCGTGGAATTATCCCAAATTCCCATGGAATTGTCCTGAATTCCCGTGGAATTATCCCAAATTCCCATGGAATTGTCCTGAATTCCCGTGGAATTATCCCAAATTCCCATGGAATTGTCCTGAATTCCCGTGGAATTATCCCAAATTCCCATGGAATTGTCCTGAATTCCCGTGGAATTATCCCAAATTCCCATGGAATTGTCCCAAATTCCCGTGAAATTGTTCTGAATTCCTGTGGAATTATCCCAAATTCCCATGGAATTGTCCTGAATTCCCGTGGAATTATCCCAAATTCCCATGGAATTGTCCTGAATTCCCGTGGAATTATCCCAAATTCCCATGGAATTGTCCCAATTTCCCATGGAATTATCCCAAATTCCCATGGAATTGTCCTGAATTCCCATGGAATTGTCCCGAATTCCCATGGAATTGTCCCGATTTCCTGATCCCCAATGGAGTCGCAGGATTGGGAAAAGGGGATCAGGGAATGGATCCCGCTGTGGCTGAAGCCCCGGTTGGAGGGACAGGAAAATTCCGGATTTTTGGGCTTTTCCAGCCCCGTTTCCGTGTGGGATTGCCGGGGAATGTCGGGAATGGATCCCGTGTGAGGGGAGATGATCAAAGGAAACAAAGGATCCCGTCGGATGAGAGGATGATCCCGGAAAAGTGATGGATCCCTTTGGATTGGAAGATGATCCCAAGGAATTGCTGGATCTTATCTGAGGGGGAGAGGATCCCGAGGGATCGGAGGATCCCGTTGGGTGGGAGATGATCCCAAGGGATTGGCGGATCCCGTTGGGTGGGAGATGATCCCGTTGGGTGGGAGATGATCCCGAGGGATCGGAGGATCCCGTTGGGTGGGAGATGATCCCGAGGGATCGGAGGATCCCGTTGGGTGGGAGATGATCCCGAGGGATCAGAGGATCCCGTTGGGTGGGAGATGATCCCGTTGGGTGGGAGATGATCCCAAGGGATCGGAGGATCCTGTTGGGTGGGAGATGATCCCGAGGGATCGGAGGATCCCTTTGGGTGGGAGATGATCCCGAGGGATCGGAGGATCCCGTTGGGTGGGAGATGATCCCGAGGGATCGGAGGATCCCAAGGAATTGATGTGGCATTGCCCTTTTAAGCGCGCGTTGCCCCTTTAAGCGAGGGCCCCACCGCACCGCTCACGTGGCCGCACCACGTGAGTTTCCCGCGCGCGGGAACTGGGCGGGCAGGCGGCGCGGCGCAGTGACGTCACCGAGCAGCGCCGCGATGGCGGCGCCGAAGGTGAAGCAGGACATGGCCCCGCCGGGCGGGTACGGCCCCATCGACTACAAGCGGCACCTCCCGCGCCGCGGCCTCTCAGGTGAGCCCGGCGGGAGCCGCGGGGGCGCCGCGGAGGGGCGAGGAGCGGCGCCGTGCGGCCTGTGGGCGCTGAGCGCCCCCCGCTCCCCTCACGGCCCTCACGGCCCTCAGGGTACAGCCTGTTCGCGCTCGGCATCGGGAGCCTCCTGCTGGGTTACTACAGCCTCGTCAAGTGGAACCGCGAGCGCAGGTGACGCCCCGAGCCCCCCGCGGCCATCCCCGGCCCGAGCCCGGGGCTCCCCGCGCTGCTGGCCCCGGGATGGGCGCTGCCCACCCGGCTACCGGGACCCCCAGTG